CTCGAATGATAAAAGGGTTGGAACACTTTCCCTATGAGGAAAGGTTAAAGCGCTTAGGGCTCTTTAGCTTGGAGAAAAGACGACTGAGGGGTGACATGATCGAGGTTTATAAGATTATGCATGGGAAAGAACAGGTAGAGAAAGAGGTACTTTTCTCCCTTTCTCACAATACAAGAACTCGTGGGCACTCCATGAAACTGCAGAGCAGTCGGGTTAGAACGGATAAAAGGACGTCCTTCTTCACCCAAAGAGTGATTAACACTTGGAATTCACTGCCACAGGAAGTGGTGGGTGCTACAAGCATGGATGGCTTCAAAAGGGAATTAGATAAGCATATGGAGCAGAGGTCCATCAGTGGCTATTAGCCACAAGGTATAGCTAGGGGCTCTGGGGCAAGTGATGCTCTGTCTTCTTGGTGCTTGGGGGGGTCAACAGTGGGAGGGCTTCTAATGTCCTGGCCCCACTGCTGGACCTCCTGATGGCACTGGTATTTCTGGCCACTGTGTGACACAGAGTGTTGGACTGGATGGGCCTTTGGCCTGATCCAACATTGGCGTCTCTTATGTTCTTATGAATTGCACCCTCCCTTCTTCCCACAGGATGTAAGGATCGTGCCCGTACAGCCAAAGAGCTCCCAACACCACCGGGAAACAGGCTGCAGGGGTCACTACAAAGGATCTAGATTCCCAGTGATCTCCAGCCCCCATCAGTACGGGAATAGTCTCGTATATACACGGGTCTTTCATTGGGGACCCGTCCATCTGGGTGAAGATAATAGGGTCTTTCAACTTCACCACCCCCACCTCCAGCCCAGCCACCACCGAGGGGCTTATTAAATCTCTCCCACACCCTGAGTCCAGGAGAGCCTTCGCTCTAATATGAGTTCCAAGGGACGGGTTTAAAATGGATACAGTCACAAAGAAGGGGGGGTTCGCTCACCACTTTTGGCGCCTCGCTGGAAGGGTCCTGCCACTCTGCACCGTTTACGGCAGGACCAATACGGCAGGACCGAGTCATTTTCCGCCGGCTCCTGCTCCTCACTGCTCGATTCTCCCTCGTCTTCCTTTGGCGAGGCTCGCAAAGTCTTGGCGAATTTCGGCTTCCCCATAGCTTTCTTCAGCGGGTGGGCCAGGCGACTTTTCCCAGTATCGGCTTTTTCCTTCCGGACGGTCTGCCCGCAGTCGGCAGCGAAGTGGCCCCTCTCCCCGCACTTTAGACACAAACCTTGGCGCATCCGTTGTTCTCGCAGGGCGTCCGGTTGCCGTGACGGCTTAGGTTTCAAGGGAGATGGGGTTGCTCTTCCCCCGGTTGCAGCAATGTCCAGCCTCAGTGTATGCAGGCGATTTTCTGCACTCTCGGCTTCTTGCATCCATGCTATCAGAGAAACCGGGCCTATGGACCTCAGTACCGTCTCTCGGATTTCCGCGTTCAGGCCTACCTGGTACATTTCTGCCAAAACGTTATCTGGCCAGTTGGGCAACTTTGCTTTGCTGAATACATGGGAACGTGAAAGCAAACAAGCGCATACCTAGAGACTAGAGATACAGAAGAGCATCCACAGAGACAAGTGAACTCCAAGAGCATACACAGAGTACACGGAAACATATTGGCAGCTTGCTGACACGTGGGAGCGCATGATAGGCATCGCACGCAGGATTCTAGATTCCATGCTGGCAGGAACACTTTCCCTCACGCATGAGACATTGTCTACTCTCCTAGCGGAAGTCTCTGCCATCATCAACGCAAGACCTCTAGTTCCAGTATCCTTGGATCCTGAGAACCCAACCATCCTGACACCAGCAACTTTGCTGACACTAAAGACAGGCGAATGGCCAGCACCTCAAGGGATCTTCGCGGCCAAAGACATGTTCAAACAACAGTGGAGGCAAGTTCAACTCCTAGTGAACACCTTCTGGAAGCGCTGGAAGCAAGAATATCTTCCAACTTTACAGAGGCGACGCAAATGGGAAGAGGACAAGCCTAACCTGCAGGAAGGAGATGTCGTGTTGCTGAGGGAGAAAGATGCACCCCGCAACTCGTGGCCCATAGGACTTGTAGATCGGGCCTTGCCTGGCAAAGATGGACTGGTCCGCAAGATTGATGTCAGAGTCGTCGCACGTGATGGCCCACAGGAGCGCCCCTGGCCGACCAAGACTTTCACCAGGCCAATCACAGAGGTGGTCCTGCTCTGCACCAAAGAACTCGATTGAAGACTCAAGTTTTGCATGTCTTATTTTGTATTGAACATAGTTAGCAGTGTAGCATGCCGATTATGCATAGTTATAGGTGTAAGGTTTGTTAGCAATGCATGTGGGTAGTGGAACCCGTAGGATTCCAGGCGGGGAGTGTGCTGCCCCAGTCAGCATTTAACTGTAGCTAAGTAGAACTGCCATATATCTTTAAGAGCAGTTTGCCCCTGGGAATTGTAGTCTTTTGTTAGGCATCCCAATGCATCCCTGACTGGCTAATTAACAGCAATTTACTCCTCACAGAGGCGGGAAGATTTCTGAGTTTACAACTCTCTTCCGTTTTCTTTGTTCTCAAAACGGCAAGGAGTGGGAAAACGCAATCCTTTTCACCATAAGCCAGTGAACAGAATTAGATTACAAAAGATGTAAGTAAGAAGTTTTGAATGCATGTGGAACTGAATAAAATTGATTTAATTCTACTTTGGGCATGCGTTGAATCTGTCCAGAAGGCGTTGTTGATTCAGCGTCAGACGGAACAGAGATAGTTTGCCAATGCCTGGCTCAGCATGGCGGCCTTGGATTTCCCTGGACTGACCAGGGCTCAGCTTCCGAGATAAGGCTAGCCTCGGCCCTCCACATGCGGGCAACACCTCTCTCCCTGGACCCAAATGCCAGTCCGTTTTAGGATGAGACGACACAGTGGCCCCTCGGCGCCAGCATAGGGTAGCAGCTCTAGTGCCAGGCTAGGCTCAAGGGCCCCTGGGTTCGAGTCCCCACTCCGCCACGGAAATACTACTTACATAGAGAGTGACTAAAACGTGGAGTTTGCTCCCAGAGGGTGTAGTGAAGGCCACAGGAATAAACCGCTTTACCAGGGGACTGGATAGATTCATGGAGAACACATCTATCAGTGGCTACTAACCCTGGTGGCCGAGGGGAACCTCCGCATTTAGAGGTACTAAACCAGGGGTGTCGAATTCATTTGTATGAGGGCCAGATCTAACATAAATGCGACCTTTTTGGGCCGGGCCATGAGTGTCATAAAATGTAATGCCACGTAGTGGGGATATAAACTTTATAAAGGACACAAACACAAAGGTTTTTTTATCTTAAAATAAAAACATGCTTAAAACATTAGCTTTGTAAGCTGCAAACCTACTTTTGATTTATTGACATTCACCACAGAAATCTCATGCTAGAGTTCTGAGTCTAGGACCCAGGTTAAAACATGAAATGGCAAAGCAAGCTATGATGCAGCAGCAGCAGAACTGGAAGCAGGAGATGGCCAGTTCCACTGCGGGCCTGATGGAAGCCCTCCGGGGGTCTGATCTGGCCCCCGGGCAACATGTTTGACACCCCTGCACTAAACCTTTGAATCCCAGAGCCAGGGAACTACATCAGGGGAAGGCCTCGGCCTCTGTGCCCTGTTGCTGGCCCTCCAGAGAAACTGATTGACCACTGTGTGAGATAGGAGGCTGGACTAGCTAGACCAGTGGTGGCGAACCTATGGCATGGGTGCCAGAGGTGGCACTCAGAGCCCTCTCTGTGGGCACACATGCCATCGCCCCAGCCAGGCCCAGACCATCATTAAAGTGTCGAATTCTCTGTCAAATAATTTTAAGTAAATGAAAGCATTTGGGATAGCTTTCCTTACGATGTTTGCATAATCTTAAATTAATGTATGAGTTGTTTTTTCTAAAGTAAAACCAAATTCAGGTTAAATTGCCGTGTTGGCACTTTGCGATAAATAAGTGGGTTTGGGGTCGCAGTTTGGGCACTCAGTCTCAAAAAGGTTCGCCATCACTGAGGTAGACCATTGGTCTGATCCAGCAGGGCTCTTCTCATGTTCTTATGCTTACTGGGTGAACTTGGCCCTGTCACACAATCTCATGGGCCTGATCTGCCTCACAGGTAGAAGAAGAAGAAGAAGAAGAAGAAGAGATTGGATTTATACCCCGCTCTTCACTGGAAGTCTCAGAGCAGCTTACTAACTCCTTTCCCTCCCCACAACATACATCCTTGTGAGGTGGGTGGGGTTGAGAGAGCTTTGACAGAAACTGCTCTTTTTTCAAGAACAGTTTTTATCAGAACTACTTGCCCAAGGTGATCCAGCAGGTGCAAGTGGAGGAGTGGGGAATCAAACCTGGTTCTCCCAGACTAGAGTCTGCGCACTCAACCACTACACCAGAGGGCTGCCATATCTTCTCCCCCCACCCCACCCCCACCACTGGCAAGGGAAGGGGGGCGTAGGGTTGGCAGATCCAGGTTGGGAAACCCTGCAGATTGGGAGATGGGGTCTGGGGAGGACAGGGATAGCAGTGGCCTACAATGCCACAGACTCCACCCTCCTAAGCAGCCATACTCTCCCAGGGGAACAGATCTCTGTTGCCTGGCGATGAGCTGTTACTCCAGGGGATCCCCAGGTCCCACCTGGAGGTTGGCATCCGTACTCCCAGGGTTGCTGTCAAGAAGAAAGAAGGGGAGGAATCCTGTTCCCCTCCCCCCCTCCTTGTACCCACACCAGGAAAAGCCACAGGAGACCCCCTTCCCCGGGAACACCTGCCCAACCAGAAGGCGCCTGGAAGGGAATCTGCGCCTGCGCAACATCAAAAGCCGTGCGCCCTCTGACCCTTCTTATTAGACAGAGAAGCCACGTGACCGGGAGGGGATTGGGCCTCAGGGCGACGGCCGCCAAGAAGGCCCGCCTTTCTCGGACGGCATTCTCATTGGGCAACCGGCGGCAGCGCGCGGGACCGGCAGGGCGGTGCTTCCCCGGGATTGGAGGAAGTGCTTCCGGAGTCCGAGGCGCTTCCTGCTTCCGGTGCACGGGGCGCCTCAGAGGAGAAAGGCGTTGTGGCCGGCTGCGGAGCGCTTCTGTCGGGCGGCCTCCGCACCTTTTCCGTGTCAGCCGCTGACGAGAGCTGCCCGCTGTCTTCCCGCTGAGCGGCGCAGTATGCCGATTTCTGAGGCTTTCTTAATCAGCCGCCGGCCGGTCTCTCGCTAAGGCTGTGACGTCACCCGACGGGGGGGGAGCGCGATCGCCACAGCCTCAGGTGAGCGCTCACGTGACTGCTGGCCCTTCTGCGCAGGCATGGAGGGAAGGGCCTGGGGTGGGGAAGCAACTGGGGTCTGGTTGCCAACTCCAGGTTGGGGGAATTCCTGGAGATTTGGAGCTGGTGACCCTGAGGGAGGTGGGGTTTGGGGGTCTAAAGCAGCCAGGTTGTTTTTCCCCCGGAGGGCACTGATCTCTGCTGCCTGGGCAACATTTGCAGCAACTCTCTCAGGCTGGTCAGATTTACTTGTGTTTATTCCAGACACTTGCCTTGAAGTCGCGCCTCAAATCCAAAGGGAGAGCAGGCAGGCTTGCATCCCTGCCTTGCGAATTTTACCTCTTTGTCCCTTTTCTTTGCTACTTTTCTGGTTGTTGAAATGGAGGTTTTGGGAGGCTCTCCCTGTTGCTTTATCAAAAGCCGTATCTCTGCTGGTGGGCTTTGTAGAATTAATGGGTTTGGGTCATGGTGAACCAGAGTAGCGTTGTGGTTGCCATCCTAGTGGCTACAGTGCCCGATTTGGGCCTGGGAAGCCCGGGTTCTAATCCCCACTCTGCCGTGGAAGCTCACTGGGTGACCTTGGGCCAGCTGCGCAGACTCCGCCTCACCTCACGGGGTTGTCACAAGGATAAAATGGAAAAGGGGATGACGTTGTAAGCCACTTTGGGTCTCCATTGTAGAGGAAGGGGATATAAACGAAATAAAATTGAAAATAAATCACTGACTGCAGCACACCCGGTGAGTTCACGACAGGGGTAACGGTTGAACCCAAGGCAGACGTGGGTTTTAATAGGCCTGCGGCCATGATGTGTCATTTGAGCCTGATTCACAAGAATTCTGCTGGCTCTCTCAGTTGTTGATTCTTCACTCTCTCTGGAGCATGATAGAGTAGGCCTACAAGGCAAGCAGTTTACTGCACCCTACTAAGGAACTGGAGAACTACGTCCCTTTCCTTGACTGCCACCGGCCGAAGCAGAACAATTTCATGCCCTGTTTGTTTGGAAGGGAATTACATAAAAGGGATTTAAAAGTCCTTAACTCTAGCAGGGTAGTCTGATAGTTTGGAGACATGGTAAACTAGTAGTTCTTGCCGACACACACTGAGTATTCAGAAAGGAAGGCATTTTTCAAACCAAGAAGTGGTTTCACATCCTCTTCTTGAGACCCAGGACTAAAAGCACAAGTCATCACAGCCACTTGGGCTACTGCAGATCCCGCCATAAAGCCTGTTGCAAAACCAGCAATTAGCTACTCACCTCTTCCCAGTGCCTCATTGTTTGATCTTCTCTTTTAGTAGTTCCCATGGGAATTGCCGTGTGCATTTTCTGCTCCCTGGAGGTGTTTTTATACAGTTTGTAACACAGCAGTCAACTTCCACATTTTAGAATGGAACATCTCAGAAGCGATAGATTCACAAAGAACAGTCAGGAATACTTTAGCAAACTGGAAGTCTATGCAAGTGGAGGTGGGCTTCTTTGCAAGGCTGAGTAAAACCTTTTAAACATGTCGGTCTCATATTTGCACCATCTACATCCTGCAGTTGTAGTGCACCGGGGGCAACGGTTTAGGCCACAAGACTCATTTATAGCTGCTTTAGACCTTTGCTGTACCCCAACTTGTGGGTCTGGACCCAAATGTTGTTTGTGAACAACCTTTCCTAGTGGCAGAGCCCCCGCCCTTTCCCTTTCCCGCTTGTATTTTGCAAACCAAGATCCGACCCTGGCAACAGTATCTTCCGTGTCATATATTAGTTGGTATTATTTGTTCCCTGCATATATACATGTGTGTGTGTGTGTGTGAGATATATATATCTCAATGAAGTAAAATGTATCCTGATGGTTACTAGAGTGAATTGCTTAGGATTTTAAGGTGGGGTGGTTAGAGGGAGTAATGAAGCAGGAGAGGGTGGTCAAAGGTTGGAACATAACCTCGATATGTAAAGGCTGTGTATGCCGGAATGCCACTTGCTTGGGGTTCACAGTGGGGCAAAAACCTGGGTTAGCCACTGTAGAAAATGGAATGCTGAATTAGATGGGTGGGAAAGTCATGGGTTTTTTTTTGGGGGGGGGGAATTGGGTCAGCCAGCCAAGTGAGCTTGGACATGTGGGTCACCATATGGAAAAGGTGAGAACCACTGCTAGCAGATCACTGCATCTGTTTTTCTGCATGCCTTGGAAACATTAAACATTTGCTCTTGCCCTGAATCATTTGCACATTGGTAGGACAAATAGTTCCGGATTCCACAGGGTAAGAATGCCCAACAGTGAATGTGCAGCATTGAATCCTCCACTGGTGGGAACTACCGTTAAAGTGCTATGGCGATGCTGCCACCATGTTCTCTGAAGCTTCAGCCCCAAGGAGGGCTCTTTGACTGAGTTCCACATTCCTAAAGCTTCCGGAACGTTCAGAGCCTTTGGCACTTGGAGTTGTGCTTCTGAAAAACTGCACCAGAGAGACTTCTCCTCCTCCACGGATTTGCCTAATTGTTTTCTATGTACAAAGGAGCTGTGGCGGCTGAAGTGGTTAAGACGCTGAACTGCAGGCTGTGGAAGGTCAGTAGTTCAGCAGTTCGAGACCTGAGTTGCCGCATGATGGAGTGAGCTCCCGTCTCTAGTTCCAGCTCCTGCCAACCTAGCAGTTCGAAAGCAAGAAATTGCAAGTAGATAAATAGGTACCACTTCGGTGGGAAGGTAACAGCGTTCAGTGCACCTTGGTGTTTAGTCATGCCGGCCACATGACCACGGAAACGTCTTCGGACAGCGCTGGCTCTTCGGCTTTGAAATGGAGATGAGCACCGCAACCCTAGAGTTGGACTCGAATCTTTACCTTTACTTTACTATGTACAAGTCATTTGAGCCGATGGCCACCGCATATTGCAGCAACTCTTCAGTATTGAGAGCCAGTTTGGTATAGTAGTTAGGAGCATGGACTCTAATCTGGGGAACCAGGTTTGATACCCTCCTCCTCCAGATGCAGCTGCTGGTGTGACCTTGGATCAATTACAAGGTATTTCGGAGCTGTTCTCAAAAGAGCTCTTTCAGCCCCATACAGGGTGTCTGTTGTGGGGAGGGGAAGAGAAGGGAAAGGAGTTTGTAAGCCGCTCTGAGACTCCTTCGGGTAGTGAAGGGCAGGGTGTAAATCCAATCTCTTTTCCTCCTCTTCTGCTGCCAACGAAATCTGCACGCCAGCTGACCAAACTAGATCCATCTCAGCCGAAGCACACTTGTGACAGAGAGACGGTGCCCCCAAATTGTTCTTCAGGCACTCCCTCTGGGGAAAAAAAGTCTCCCTGCCAGAGAGGTTGACGGTGCAGACGAGGTGGCGGGTGGGTCTGTGAGACGGGCAGTTGGGTTTTCCGGTACGGCAGCTGCAACTTCCTCAGAAGAGAGACTACTTTTGACGACTTCCCGTTTAACCTGCCCAGCACAAACCTCGGGTCAGGGCGGGGCCTGTCACACCTGGGCAACGAAGCCTGAAGGGAGGAAGGCTGAGAGAGCAATCCTTGTTCCTTGTTTCCTTTGCTGTGCCGTTAAACTGCTTCTGGCAGATCGCTCCCTGGCTCGGCTGCTGGCTTCTCTCTCGTCCGAAGGGCCCCTTCCTTGTCATCCCCCGTCATTGTCTTGCTTAGTATATTCAGGCTGTTGCTATCTCGTGCTGCTCAACAGCTGTGAATCACTTTCAGGGGCAGGGGAGAGAAGACAACTCCTTTCTGGGTCCCTGGGCATTTGAAAGGAACGCCTTTCGCGAAAGGTTTGCAAGCTCTTTACATGACATTGGTAAAAGAAGGCGTCCTGCCCGGGTGTCCCTACTTGCATCTGACAAAGTGAGTTAGACTCTGGAAAACTCATATTTCTCCCCCCCCCCCCCCCCCATTTTTGGTTTTTAAGGCGCTCCTGGACTTGAACCTCTTGGTTCCTAACAGTTGCCTTCGTAGGTATGCCCTGGTGAGCGTGTTCCAGACCACTCCTCAAGCCGTGAACTCTTTTCCTTCCAATGGCGAACAGTTCAAGGGGGTGGCTTGTATTAGGCCCTTAATGTTCCCGTTTCCTTGGTCGTTTCTGCCTTATACAAAACCATGGGACCATCTCCCAAGATGATCTCCAAAGTTTCTTGTGTATCTATTAAGGGGCTGGACATTAACTATTTAGTCATCTCTGGGGTCCAAGTCTCACATCTCAGGAAGAAACATTAACCATTTGTCAGCAGTTTGGTGTAGTGGACTCTAATCTGGGAGAACCAGGTTTGATTCCCCACTCCTCCACTTGCACCTGGCTGGATGACCTTGGGCAAGCCATAGTTCTGATAAGAGCTTTCCATGAATAAGAGCAGTTTCTCTCAGAGCTCTCTCAGCCCCACTTACCTCACAGGGTGTCTGTTGTGCAGAGGGGAAGGGGAAGGAGTTTGTAAGCTGCTCTGAGACACCTTTGGGTAGTGAAGGGCGGGGTATAAATCCAATCTCTTCTTCTTCATTTGTTCTCTCGTCTTCCTCTTCCTGAACTAGAATGTTCCTGGGTGGGAGGATGTCCCTGGCTCACACCTGCCTTCCTGCCATGCTGCTCGCCCTCGTGACCACTGCAGCGGCAGGTGAGAAGGAGTGCGACCTGGTGGGGGTGAAAGGCAGTGAATCCAAGAGGGAAGTTGCCCTGCTGAAGAGGTTGGAGCCGCTGGCCAACTACAGGTACGGTGGCTGCAGCTGACAGTGTTGTACCAGCATGCGCGGTTGTCTCCAGTCAGGAGTTGTTCATCTTAAGGGTTCCCCTCCAACAACCCTAGCTGATTTTGTACAAATAGGATTGATGGCAATCACATGAAGCAGCGGCTCAGTCTCGTGATTTTTCGAGTGGGGAAAGCCCTGACCGTTGGTGCAGCTCTTCTCTCTTCCTGATGTCTTGCAGTTTTACAACAAATATCGAAAATGAAAGGGAACAATACACATACACTTTCAGAGTGTGTCGAGAAACTCCTACTGGTGGGGAGTATTCCGGCCTGGTGCAGGTGGACGAGAAAAGCAAGAAAACCACGGTGGTGGGACGAATCAATGAGACTCACGTCGCTAGTGGAAGTAAGGCATCCTCATTCCTCAGCAGCCTCTCTCCGTTGTCCCACAAGCCCGCCCATGCCTCACTGGCAACTCCCGTGTTTCTGTCTTGGCAGCTGAATGGATTCTGCTGATCTACAAAGGGGGGGAAAGCTACGGCAGCCACTGTGGGAACGAGAAAAGGAAAGCCATGGTCATGATCACCTGCAACCGGAAGATGCTTACAGTGAGTAGATACCGGGGGAGAGGGTGGCTTTGGAAGCAGTACAGATCCAGGAGCTTTTCAGACAAATCTAGCCTGTGAATAGGCATTGCTCCTCAGTTGCCATCTACTGCTTGGATTGCACTCCATACTGTTTAGGTATAAGAAAACCTAGAAAGGTTATGTACAAGCCAATCAAGGGAGGTCAGGTCCATTGGACATATGTTCTTTAGTTGCCCATATTATAAGGAGGCTGGTTTGGGATCATTTATTGCTGGGTAAGATTCCCGGTTGCACAAAGCCAGGCTTGACTGCCTTTTTTCTGATAAGAACTCTAAGATCACTTATCAAGTAGCTAGATTTCGTGCACTGATACTGAGGTTACGGAAACTGTATTTTAATTAGGTTTTAAATTCTAATCTTTGATTTTTGTATATTTTGTATTCTGTATTTCGTAAAAACTTTTATTAGAAATATATGGCTGGTCCAGCGACCGTAATAAATTCTGAAATTCTGACCCCATACTATTTAACAGGTGAACTTTGCATTCAGAAAAGGAACACAATGTAGTTCTGTGGGGGATTGTACATCTTCTGAATACTTGGGTGGAGGGGGACTCTTTGAAAAGTACCCTGCACATAGGAGGAAGTGTTCCTCAAGAGCCACATATGACTCTTTGACATGCCACCTGTGGCTCTCGTGAGCACTCCTTCCCAACGTGGGGTGTCACGGCTCAGGTGGGGTGTCACCTGACGCTGCCACCACTCTGGTTCCAGGCTCCCTTGAGAAGGCCCAGAGCTCCCTCCCAAGACCTTTAGACCTCCCTTTTGGCCAAATAATAAGTGTTAGGACCAGGCAGAGTGAACAATGAAAATAGTTTATTTTATAGGACGTCAAACAACAAGGTGCAGAAATATAACAGTAAGTGGGTGAAAAGAAAAGAAATCAAATGCCCTAACGCATTTAAATATATACTGTCCCTAGCTCACTATCTCAAGTGGCACTAAACTACTCCCCCTTCTCTCAGGATGAGGGTCTCTTCCCTACAGCGGCCTTCCTTCTAGCTCTGCCCTCTTGGAAGAAAGAGCAGCTTTCCCTGCTGTTCCAGATCTTTTATTCTAAGCCCTCTTCTTTTCCGGTTGGTCAATTTTGGCTCCAAAAGCTCTCAGGGGCTTCTGGGAGTTCTAGGCCCAGCCTCACCTACTGCTAGCCAGGCTCCCTGGGCCTAGTAGGCCTCTGGTGGCACAGCCCAGACAGTGGCCAGCGTAGAACTCTGGGCACAGCTGAATTCTTCTGCTCTCGTCTGGAGGGTTAAGACTGGTGCTTCTGCCAAGCTGCTGTTACGGCTTCTCTTCTCTCAACACAGGGGCCCTTCACCATGGTGGCAGAGGAGCGGGAGAAGGAAGAGGAATGTTTCTACCTTTTCGAGATGGAGAGCAGCGTGGCCTGCCCTCCTGTGGACTCACACCTCAGCGTGGGTTCCATCCTGCTGATCACGTGAGTTCACCCCAGCGGCTCTCCCCTTCCCACGTTTCAGACCCTGCGTACTGTTTGCACACCAGGCACGTTTGAACAAACTTGATTCGAATTACGGTACATTTGCATTTCTGCGGACTTCAGTTCTCATGTAGAGAACAGCTGTAGAATCGTAAGGTCGAAAGGAGCCCGATTGGCCACCTCGTCCAACTCCCTGCTTGGTACAGGAAATCCAAAGTTAAGAGTATTTCCATCTGGTGGCTCCCCAGCCTCCGCTTGAAGATCTCTCCCCAGTTCCAGCCTCAGACTGCTTTTGCCATTAGGACTTTTCTCCTGATGCTCACCTGGGAAGCAGGAGACAGAGAAAGGCCCGAGGGCTCTGGAGTCCACAGGAGGAGACAGAACAGGATAGAATGGAAGTGAGAGGATCTTCTGTTTTCTAACCCTTAAAAAGCATTGGGGGGCGGAGGGGAGGTCAGAGCTAAGCACCTTCTACTGATGGGCCACAGACCTTGCAGTGGTTGCCTCGGGCCACTTCGTACTGAGTGTTTCCAAGCTGTTTCCTTCTTTCGATGAATGCGATTCCGTGGAGCCTGGAAATGCCGCCAGACCCTGCAACTGAAAGCGACGCTAAGATAGTAGCATGGATGAATTCATCAAAGCGCCTGAGCTTTCTCTGGCTCAAGCTACAGAGGTAAAAGCAATTTTTTCCCCCAAGAGAGGCCAGTGTAAGGTTCAGGGATGATGATGGATTCTCTTGGTCCTGCAGCATCAAGCTCAGGTTGGATCAGACGTGGGAATCCTAACTCACTTTTGCTCCATTTCCCCTTTTCTGTAAAAAAAAAGAGGACTGGTGTCGGCATCCTCTTCTTGCCCCTGTGTTTTAGATGCATGCAGCTGCCTAAGAGTGTGAAATCTTTCAGGCACCCTAAGTTTTCCAATGGCTGTAAACTGAGAGGTACTTTTTGGCAGCGTGACGGGCTTTCCTTCCAGAATTTAGATGTTGGGAGGATTTGGGGTGTGTGTGTGTGTGTCAGTGTATAGCCGAAAATGGAAACCTTCCATCACTCATGAGATCAGTAAACCAATCAGCCTCCTGCGTAATTTCTAAACAGGTGACACCTCTGTGCTTTCAAAGTTTTCTCTGCAACCGTGAAGTTTTGACTTCTTTCAGTGAAGATTCTTGGGGGGGGGGGGTGTCATAGCGTTGGGGTCTGCAACTTGCATTTTGTGCCATTTAGATTGGCCGTCCCATCCCCCCCGTTCATACACACCACCTTCAAATAGCTGGACTGCCGCATTGACATGTTGACCTTCTCTTCCAGGTTTGCTTCCCTGGTCGCAGTATACGTCATTGGGGGCTTCCTCTACCAGCGTCTGGTGGTGGGAGCGAAAGGCATGGAGCAGTTCCCCCATTTTGCTTTTTGGCAAGACATGGGCAACCTAGTGGCAGTAAGTGGTGAACACAGAGACGTCCACATGGCGGAGCAGCAGGGGCGGGCAGGCGTCATTCCTGGGAGCTGCTTTGGTCGAGAGCTTGGGGAACAACTAAAGCGGCCTCTTGTGGAAGGTGGATCCACAACATGGGTCAAGCTTTACAAGCCTGTGTGCAGCTAAAGCCCTGTGAGCCAAAAGTGCCCACCAACAGCAGACTCTGCATGATTACCTGTTAGGGGTGTGTGTGTGTGGGGGGGGAATCCGGCCCGATTCGGATTCGGCCAAATCAGGAAGAATCAATTTCGGCCGGCAGAAAGACTCCTGCATGTCAATTTCGGCAGTAGGAGCCGATTCTGGAGTCTTTAGGCCAGGCCAATGTCAATATCGCCCCATTATATCCTATGGGCCATTGAGGTCAATGACAAAAACATAGGGTATGTTCTGGGGGCTGGAGGGGAGGGGGTTCAAGGGAGAGGCTCCAAACTCACAGGGTAGCTGCTGGAGCCTCTCCCCAAGATACCCACCAAGTTTCAAGAACATTGGACCAGGGGGTCCAATTCTACGGGCCCCAAACAGGTTGCCCCTATTCCCTCCATTGTTCTCTATGGTGGGGGGAAAAGTTACAAATGGGCCATTTTCGGGGGTGCATTCAGTTCAGACGAACCGAATGCACATCCCTATTACCTGCTCTCGCCTTGCTTCCTTCTAAGAAGTCTCCAGGGAGTGTGGGTAGTTCTGCCCCATTTCTTTAAAAAAACCACCGGCTGCTTGTTCAACACTTCAGAGTAGGTCTGCAGAACTCAGCTGGGGAAAATCTTTTTGTCTCCTGAAAGCAAAAGCCCTCGTCCTCCGCCCCGTGCAGTTCCTCCATGCTGAGGAAGATGCTACAGTCTCCCCCTGCTTAAGTGGCAGTTTTGAGACAAGGGGAAAGGACCGGCAGTGTGCACCTTTCCTATCCTGAGCCAAGGGTGCGAATGCACGAGTCAGTCCGAGAGGAAAGGCAGAGAGGAAAGGGTCCTGGGGCTGCTGTTTTCCCATCCCAAGCAAGGGTGAACGGCCTCCTCCTCACAGAAGAGAAGCTGCTGGGGAAGCTTTAAAGCGGGGTGTCGAACTCATTTGTTATGAGGGTCAGATCTGACATAAATGAGACCTTGTTGGGCTGGGCCATGTGTGTCATAAAATGTATTGCCAGGTAGCAGAGATATAAGCTTTATAAAAGACACAAACACAAAGGGTTTTTTTAACTTAAAAACATACTTAAAACATCAGCACTGTTACAATATTTTGCTTATTGAACAGTGTCTGATAACTGACACCTCTTGCTCTGGATTATTGCATCAAAATGTCTGTGCTGTTGCAATCCTGAGTATGCTGTTCAGGTGTGTATCTGTAAGCTCCAAACCTATGATGAGGCAGCGGCAGCGGAGCTGGAAGAAGAAGCAGAAGACAGCCAGTTCCGCTGCGGGTCTGATAGAATAGGAGTTGCCGGGGATTGAACCTGGGACCTTCTGCATGCCAAGCAGAGGCTCTACCACTGAGCCATGGCCCCTCCGAAGGAAAGCATATGACTGTGAGAACCCTTTCTCCCTGCAGCTCATAAATTCCTGTCCCACTGTCTTCAGTGACAGAGCTTTTCACAGCAGGAAAGGCTTTGCCAAATGGCTACAGCAACCCCCCCCTCCCCGTGGGCACTCTGAACTGCCTCTCCCTCCCTGGAGGACCTCCCACTTTGTGCCTGTTGGGAGACGAGGGCCAGATGCTCAAATGAGGGGCCGATGTCTGTGGGAGAGGCAGCTTTCACCCCGAAAACACCACTTCAGTTTCTAAAGGCTTGATGGCACTGGGGAAAATCCATTTCATAGAAATAGCCTAAATTTGAGTGTCTCACGCTTTCTAACACTTTGCATTGATTGCTAGCAGTCCCAATTTAAGGATCCGGGCCCTTTCAGCCATCTTATAGGTAGGACAGCAGTCTTTCTTGGTGTTTGGCGTCTGTGTGCTTTGTGGTCCCTTGAAGACTGGGGAGACAGCTGCTGTTCTAGGAGGATGTGGCAGGGTTTGAGTATCCAGTTCTGAATGCGATAGACAAACCTGCACAGATCGGCCAAAGAGGGAGTGTTTTTGCGCCACCGCCGAGACCGCATGACGTTCTCTCGTGTCTGCAGGACGGCTGTGACTTCGTGTGCCGATCCAATCCTCGGAACGTGCCCACCGCGTACCGTGGCGTCGGGGACGACCAGCTCAGTGAGGAACCTGAAGAGCGGGACGACCACTTGCTCCCCATGTGAATTGCCTTCCTCCGTTCCCTGCCCTCGGTGTGCCCATAAGCAGGTGTTAACCCGGCCACTTCTCTTGCCCCTCATCTCTGCCTCTCACCTCTTAAGCTGCTTGCTTTCAACTCTGGCTGCCCTGGGTTTTTTCTTTTCCCCATCTCCTTCCTTTATCTGAATCAATCCGCTGGAGGCAGGGGGGGACCCCTTATGAGCGAAGAGCTGTAGGGTGAGGGAAGCCCGACCAGAACTCACTGCAGCAAAAATGCTTCTCTGGACTTTCGCCGCCTCCCGAGGCTGAGATCCCTCTCCACCGCTGGGGAAATCCTCGGAAGTCTGACTACAGACACCGGGGGGTTCACCTTCACGGAAGTCGCCTGGTGGATGGGAGTTTGGGGAGAGCTGCTTGCATTTAAGTAATGTCTCCCCATTTTTCTATAGGTCTTGTCCTACAAAACACTGGATTTTCTATTTTGAATTATTCAACTGTAATTTTTTCTCCCCTGATCTGTCTAGCAATGGCATAAGCAAAGCTTGTTTTGTACTTCTCCGGTGTAACTTCAGGGAGCTCTCTCCAGCATTTTCACTCTCCTGGGTGGGCAGTAGCCAAACTTAACATGAAGGACCTTCTCTTCCCCACTTTTGAACCAAAGCCTAGACTTCAGAAGGTTCTTGCGGCCCCTGGATGGCACTGTGTTTGATTTCATTAAGCAGGCTGAATGGAAGCAGGGAGACATTATTTGTCAAAGGGGTTAAAAGGAGAGAGTCCCCTTCCTGAAGCAGTTTTGGTACGGCACTAATTCCTCCCTTGGATCAATCCCCATTCCCTTTGAAAGCTTTATTAGAAAGACGGGTCATTGAGCTTTAATCGTAAATGCGATAGTGGCAGAGGCTGAAGCGCGTAGGGAAGAAATGCTGTCAAACACCAGTCGGGGCCAGTTCAGTTACGCGGGGGGAGAGGTAATAACTGAAGCGTGGAGCCCCCAAGACCATTAAAAGAAAGCCGGAGTCTTTTCTGGTTGCTTATGGCCGAGGTCCTCCTAGAAAACATTAACCGAAGGTGTAGAACCGCAAGGAGAGGTGCGTCTCTACCAGTCTTGTTTACAACAGCTGAGAAAATTATCGTGCACTCCCGGTCCATCTCAGCTGTTCGTGCTCCATATTCTTCAGCTGAGATGTCAAGTCTGATCTGTGCCTGCGTTTGCTTTTTCGGTGGGATGGGACAGGCAGGGTCTTACCGTTTTGGTGGTGGGCTTCCTTTGACCACTGGCGGGAGGAGGGAGGGGGCTCTTACCTTACTGGAGGGAAGCGTCTCAGTGCCGCCAGAGCCAGGCTGACACTGTTCACGCCGCGTCCGAGGATGCCCGGACTCTCTCAGCAGCACCAGCTTCCATCGGCAGGGGTATCACCCCCACACACTGCTCCTCCAGTTGATGTTCTCCCAGCAGGGCAAGGGGGACAGATCTGCCCTTCAGTGACTAAAACCGGAAGGGTGGAAGAGCAGGCCCCCCCAGCAGCCTCGACGGTCAAGCCTCTCAGCTTCAGGAAGAAACAGAAGTCACTGTGCGGTGGTCACTTTTTTATGGTGGCGTTCGGAAAACTTTGTACAAAAACTTTAAAATTAAAAAAAAATGGCTTGGAAGCCCCGAAGCAGGTGTGTATGAAAGTTAATTAAAAGAGCTTGGGACTCGGAGGTACTGGTTAATACAATCCCCGGGGCGGGGGGGGGGGGGGGGAGATCAGAGCCAGCTTTGATATTCAGGTTAACAGTACAAGGCGGAGGACACAAGAGATGCTAATCACCTGCGTGGCTTAAGGTATCGAACATCCTTTTGGTATCAGGAGTGTTCATGTCAAGCAAAGTGAAGCTAGGAGATCCATTAAAATACCTTCATATCTGATGAGGTCTCCGGCCATTCGGCAGGTGTGGACACCAGTTCAGGGGCGGCATTTAACCTACACATAAAGAGGCAATACACTCCCCCCCCCATTGTAGTCCATTCCACTGAAAATATTCCAGCACTAATTTCTGCCTTTTTTTCTGAGGGTAGTAGATTAAGGCACAACTCAGGGTGGGCGCTAAGTTAACTTGTCACCTAAATGCTTCTCTCTCGAAATCACTAGTAGAAATGGGCTACAATTTAATATTCCATTCTGCGAGGCCAAGAGAATTTGCAAGGACTATCCTGTAAAGCAGAAAGCCCGATCCAGTTTCCTAGAGCGATCACCTTGGGCCCAGTAGAAGAAAACTGGAAATACTACATTCAACTACTGAATTTTTAAAAAAGATTATAGTACTTTGCTCCTGTAACATGTGCCTCCTTCGCTGTGTTAAAAAAAAGAGTGGTGTCTTTGCCCTAAAAGTAGGTGGAGTTGTATAAAGATGATAAAACACAGCATATCTCTGCAGTGTATAAATGTACCTTTGTTTTAAACTTCCTTATGATGAGGACCAATGGATCTTTATTTGAAGTTATATGAGCAGATCTCAGTCTGATCGCATTACAGTTTACTTTTCAACTGCAGAGATGCTTAACCTGTTCTTTTTTCTAGAGAGCTGGCACACCTCCTGTCAAGTCAGATTACATCTTAAGCTCTTGGAGAATTACCAGGGAGCCCAGGGCCCTGACCCGGATGACCCAGGCTAGGCAGCTCTCGTCAAATCTCAGAAGTTAAGCAGGGTTGGCCCCAGTTAGGACCTGAGTGGGAGACTAATGCCAAGGGAGTCCAGGGTCACGGCACAGAGGCAGGCAATGGCAAGCCACGGCTGTTCGGCTCTTGCTTTGAAAGCCCCCAAGCGCAATTGCCATTGCCATGTGAGCTAAGGCTTTGTGGCACTTTTCCACCAGAATACTCCACATCCTCTGCTAAGCTAGCAAGCAGCTGTAGCCTTTGCCACTTCCCTGCCACGTCATTAGAATCGTAGAGTTGGAAGGGGAGATCTAGTCCACCACCACCCCTTGCACAGTGCAGGAGACTCACAAATACCTCCGGCCCCACACACACCCAGTGACCCCTGCTCCGTGTCCAGAAGATGACAAAAAAAAAACCCCTCTGGCCCGGAAGAATCGCTTCCTGACCCCAAAGTGGCGATTGGCATTTCGCTGGGAGTGTCAGAAAGGGCCACGAGAACTAAGCGCCGAGGCACCCCTCCCTGCCCTCCCCTCCCCTCTCGTGATCTGCCTGAGTCCACAGAATCGGCATGGCTGTCAGATGGCCATCTAGCCTCTGTTCGAAAACAACCAAAGGAGGAGAGCCCACCACCTCCCAAGGAAGCCTGTTCCACTCTTTAGTCTCTCATCCCATACAGATTATGGAAACGATGATGGGCACACCTATTCAAGTTGTTTGATCAAAGCAAAAAGCTAAAGGTGCCGTCTTTGGCAGGGCTATGCCGCTTGAACGTGCCCTGCAATGTGGTAAGTGTTCTGGCTCAGCTGCGCATCAGTCTCAAGAGTGCCTTCTGAAGTTAGTGGAAGCCAAAGGTGCTGGAAGCTTCTCTCTGACTGCGGAGAGACCTGCACTAGCTTCATCGCAGTTCTCTCAGAACTCTCTCAGCCCCGTTTACCTCACAGTGCCATCTGTGGGGAGGGAATGTGAATGTGACCGTAAACCACTCTTTGAGACTCCTCGGGGGAAACGCGCGGTATTAAAAAACCCCCACCATCATCGTGTAACGTGTCAACAGAATGAGGACGAGCGGCTTATTTTTCCGAAGCGTTCTTTTTACTGAGGGAATATTTCTGTCAAACAAAAATAAAACAGGCCTCTGATAGAGGATACAAACTTGCTTGCAGAAGTTCTGTCTCATATGCTCTCTTGGGTGGGGGGAGGACAAGATACAAAAGGGGGGGTGGGTGTAAAATGCTAGACAAAGCAGCCGGTGCCACGGCACGCTTCCGTTTTTCTTTGGATCTCGAAAGGGTAGATCCTAACCCCAGAAGATAGGTGTGGTGCTACAGACCTGTTTTTTTTGTTGTTTTTTTTTAAAAAAGGTGTCCACACATACATAACACCCTTGACACCACACAACTGGATGTGCTCTGGTTATCTGAGGAAGGCTCCCCCCTGACCGGGGTGTGAAGTGGATGCCTGTGGAGAGTCTCCGCCCAGCACGGGGAACTGGAGGTTTCCAGCTGTGGGGAGAAAAGTAAAGGCGGCATTTAACATTTTTGGTGTTCTTCCCATTCTGCCGACTCCCTTCCTTCAATGAGACAAAAGCTGGACCAATAACCAAGCATGAACCATATGCAACCTTCCTGGGAACCTGATGGTTCTGAGGAGAAAGGAGGGCTCAAATGCGGCTCTGAGAAGAGGGAAGGCCAACTTCTCTTCCTTGTCCCTTCCCCTGAGGAGCCTCCGGAGACGATGACAAGAAAATGCTCTCTTCGTAGCCACGTTTGTCCTCAGTTCGGAGGCCAAAGAATGTCCAGGCAGCACAGATGGTTCTTTGAGGGAGATGTTTCAACAAGGCCTCCTAGGAAGATGGTCTTTCCCTCTACGGCACTGACACAGGCTGACGTGAGAGGTCTCCTTCCTTCCATTCAGTGTCAAGAGCTTGAAGGAACGGCCTCGGCACTGGCGGCATGCGTCGTTAGGTCTCTTTGAGGACGTTGATCTTGGCACAGATCTTGAGGGCGGGACCCAGCTTGATGTTCATGGCGCTCATGAGGTGCTCCTCCTTCAGCAGGAGCAGGGCCTGGCCGTCGATCTCCTGGGAGCGGAACTCCTCTGCAATCTCCTGGCAGCCTGCAGGAAATGGAGCACATTGGGAGGGCCGCGGAAAGGATGCCATGGACCGGATGTGCTTAGTCTGTATGGTGCAGGGAGTATCCCCACTTGGATCTGGGAGACCCGAGTTTGATTCCCCACACTGCCATGGGAGCTTGCTGGGTGACCTCGGGCCAATCACCCGCTCGGGCCAATCACCCGCTCGGCCCAGCCCACCCCGCAGGGTTGTTGTGAAGATAAAATGGAGGAGATGTTGCTTTGGGTCCCCGTTAGGGGGGAAAGGGGGGTACAAATCCAGCAAATAAGTAAGCCTAGCATTTGCTACTACCAAGGGTACAAAATGTTTCTCCGTTCCCTATGATACGGTTGCATTATCATAACACAGATGGGGGAAGGGGGATGTGGGACAAAGGGGGGGGGGGAACCCCAAGTCAGTGGGTAAATGCCACTAGGCCAGGAATTGAGAAGGTAGGGATGCCATTTTCAGAAGGCTACCAACAGAATAGAAGGGATTGGATTTACAACCTACCCTTCACTACCCGAAGGAGTCTCAGAGCAGCTTACAATCTCCTCTCCCTTCCCCTCCCCACAACAGACATCCTGTGAGGTAGGTGGGGCTGAGAGAGCTCTTTCGAGGACTGCCCTTGAGAGAACAGCTCTGAAAGAACTTGAGACTGACCCGAAGTTACACCAGCAGCTGCACGTGGAGGAGCGGGCAATCAAACCCGGTTCTCCCAGATTAGAGTCCGCACTCCTAACCACAACACCAAACTGGTTCTCAGCCTTGCTCGCACCTATGTAACTGGTTGTCCAGTGGACAAGCAGTGGCTGACCCTGGGCCAATGCTTTTACACCTAGGATACTTCTCTCTACCCCAACAGGCTGGCTGTAAGGATAAAATGGGGGGGGGGGAGACTGGAAACCATGTCCAGAGTTCCCTTGAAGGGCATGATAAAATGGAGACCGACCAGCCTGCTTTCCCTGGTCCAGATCTTGGCAGAGGGCGTGCTGGAGCCTTACCTTGCAAGGACGCAATGAACTCGTATACCTCCTCTACGCTCCAGCGGCTGGGGTTGCTGGAGAGGAAGACCGGGTTGATGCCGTGAAGATCGGTGGTTGGCGGGATCAGACTCGAACCGGTTAGGTCTCGTTCTCCGTGAGCTGCCCGGACGGACAGGGGTCCCGGAGATGTGGGGGACAGCGCTTCGTCGTAACTGGAGTTGTCCGACCCTCGGCTGGAGTCTTCTTGGCCCTGCACGATCCAGGCGACCCAGAAACGGAGCAAGAAGAGGACATGCTTAGGACAGAAAAGTCATTTCCGTGAGAAGTAGGACAACACTGGCTACGCCACCCCCTGACTTGAGCTTGGATTGCTGGAAAATAACCAGTATGTACGCAAGGAATCGGAGGTAACTGCATAGACGATCCCACCTCTCTCAGGAATTGCTGATTTGGGGCACTGGAAGCCTCTGGTCCAAAGGGAGGGCCCTCCCCCCAGTGGTGTTCATTACAGCAGTTTACCCTCCTGAATGTGTTTTTACGGGCACGTCCCATAACGTCCCTGCGCACCAGCTCTGGTCATCGGGCAGCCCGCTCTTGGCTAGACTGCTACTTAGGGTGGCCAGTCCGGCACTGACCAGCGCCTGGGCCTTCTCCATCAGGGGCTCCAGCTCTGTGGAATGGGTTCCCCGGAGAGGTGAGAGTGAGTAATGGAGATCCTTAGAGATCTTCTGGAGCAGGGGTGTCGAACTCATCTGTTATGAGGGCCAGATCTGACCTAAACGAGACCTTGTTGGGCTGGGCCATGTGTGCCATAAAATGTAATGCCAGGTAGCAGAGATATAAACTTTATAAAGGACACAAAGACAAAGGTGTTTTTTTAACTTAAAATAAAAGCATGCTTAAAACACTAGCACTCTTGTGATATTTTGTTTAACAGTGTCTGATAACTGACACCTCTTGCTCTCAATTACTGCATCAAAATGTCTGTGCTGTCGCAATCTGGTGTATGCTGTTCAGGTGTGTATCTGTAAGCTGCAAAGCTAGGATGACACAGCAGCAGCAGAACTGGAAGAGGCAGCAGAAGACAGCCAGTTCCACTGTGGGCCTAACAGAAGCCCTCCCGGGGCCTGATCCGGCCCCCGGGACGCAAGTTTGACACCCCTGTTCTGGAGGCTCTGCAAGGCCTGCCTGTTTGCCAGGGGTTTGAACTGACGCCTCTTAAGGTGGGGAGGAGGAAAGAGATTTGGAGTTTGCTATTTTATTTCTGGATTTAGTTAAAGTAGAGAAGGCCGGGGGGGGGACAGTAAAATGGGGGGGGGGGTTTTCCTATCCCCCCACCAGAAAAATGGGGGGAAATCCATTATGGAATATTTTCTTTTAGAATGATAAACAACATGTTTATGGCAAAGTGTTCATATATTTAACCCTCCAATATTATTTCTAAAAACTATGTAATATGAAGACTTTTATGTAAGGCTATGTAAAGTATCAAATCATTGCAATTCCTGTACAACTGAAGATAAGTAAATGCTGGAATACAATTCAAATACTGAGAAAATACTGAGGATACAATTCGGTTTTTATCAGGGGGGGTAGCAAAGGAGTTCCTTTAGTTCACATGTTCTTTTACATTTCAGGACCTTGTCGTTCCATTTTTTTTTTTTTAATTAAAAGTAAAAAGTAAATTCAATTTGTTGTTATTTTCTGCATAAGCTGTACTTTTAATATATCAAACATGGTACTTTTATGCCAAGCCAATTTATGCACAATGCACTTTATGTTCCCAGGGAAACAATGTGACTTTCGATCTGTAAAGAGTACTAATATTGATTTTTTTAAAAAAAAATCCAAACATTTTCATTTTTTCCTGGGGGCAGGGACCCAGGGGGAAAAACCAATTTCCCCCCATAGCTTCAAGATTTCTAAGCTGGCGATGTCTTAACTTACTGTAAGCCACCTTGAACCACAAGGAAAGGCGGGGTATAAACGTTTTAATAAACAAACGCCAATCAGTATTCTGGACAAGCACCTTTGACCCCTCACCAAGGCAACCAGGAAAACCCTGTGGTTTCAAATCCAAACGCGGGAGAGAGGCTGAGCCCCAGCACCCAGGCTGGAGACACGGCTGTGTGCTGCAAAGAGACAATCACAACTAATAACGTGATCCTGTATCACAAAAAGTCCCATCCTTGTGATATTGTAGAACAGCTTCTGTAATAAGTTGTAATAATTATGGGGGATCGTTTTTCTTAAGAAGAGTATGTTGTCAGTATGTTTAGAGAGCATTTTGCCCGCCAAGGCTAATGGACTGGCTTGCTTCCTATGTCAATGTTGATTTGTAAATAAGAGGTATGTCCAAATAACACAGCGTTTGCTCCTTTAGAATACTAAGATTCCATTCAGCTACACGCTGATTATGGTTCATTCTAGAGAGTTAATTTCTGAAGAATATCTACGAAGAATAACTTCTAAGGAAAATCAACTATGAAACGGGCTTACATCTAGATGCTTGTCATTTACTACAACTTATTACAGAAGTTGTTCTACAATATCACAGAGATGGGACTCTTCTAAACGTGTGAGGTGTGGAATCACAATAATCACATTAGTTGTGATATTTTTCTATCTATGTAATATGTAGGACCATATATATTTTTAATTAACTATAAAACATTAGTAGCCATAAATCACAGGGATCCCGTTAACTATGCAGAATTCATTATCCTGTGGTACTTGGCTTCAAATACATGCATGTGTAGGTGTTCAAGAATGAGTGGGCAAAATCATACAAGACAGAGGGGCAAGGTGAAACAAGATCCCCAGAGATGGAGGGGGAGCGCTTCAAAGGCTGGTGTGGTTTAAAAAAAAGGCCAACGCTATGCTGGGGATTATTAGGAAGGGAATTGAAAACAAATCAGCCAGTATCATCATGCCACTGTATAAATCCCTGTATAAATGCCCCTGTATAAATGTACAGTTCTGGTCACCACACCTCAAAAACGATATTATAGCATTGGAAAAAGTGCAGAAAAGGGCAACTAGAATGATAAAAGGGTTGGAACACTCTCCCTATGAAGAAAGGTTAAAGCGGACTTATGGTCTACGGAACAGCGATGGCGGACGCTCTCCCCACAACGGGGAAGGGCGAATTGCACACCAGTGGCCTGGAGGGGTGACTCCTACCCGCGGAGCCTTTGCAATAGGCTCTAGGCCAGGGGGCTTTTGAGGGGTAGCCTCTTCAACGGTGTAATGCCGGAGAATTGAGGCTTCCCTCCGCCCCGACGGTCCAGTCGCTGAGTGGCCTTTGGGCACAAGCTGGACTGACCGGGACAAGCGCCGGAGATCGAGCAGAATGGCGTAAAACCGAGCATGGTCAGAGAAACTGACCGACAATGAACGTGAGTTCTGAATAAAACGGAGTAGTTTGAAAAGCGATCCCCCCCCCCCCGCGGTTGAAAAAAGAGATTGCAAAGACGCCTCTTATGCGAATGAGCGGCTAACGGACACGAAGGGGGAGAGGGGAGGAAGTAAACCGAAAGTGTTTTGAGAGACTTATCTGAATCGTGAAGTCGTTTGGCGAGTTTTCCGAGTTGTGTGGAAGCGGCAGAAACTGTAAACAAAATGTGAAAGATGGCAGCCCAGCAGAGAAAGTTTAAAACGAAGCCGGGCAGTCAGAGTCCGAGACCGGAAGAGGGAGCAGATGTCCTCAAACTCCTGGCGGATATGCTCAAGCCGGTGATGGAACAACTCGATGGTATTAACCAGCAATTGACCGTGATGAATAAAAACTTTGCAGCACAGCAGCTTCAGCTGAACGAAACAGAGAAAAAAGTGGCTTCAGCTGAACGAAACAGAGAAAAAAGTGGAGCAGGCAAATGAGAAAATTAAAGAGATAGACACCACAAGCAAGAAGCTGAAGAAAAGGATGGGAGATGTGGAAATGAAGCAGAATTGCCAAGAGAATCGAGTTTTGCAGCTATAGATGGAAAAAGCTAACATGATTCTCAGGTTTCAGGGAGTTCCTGAAATGGATTGGGAAGACCTGAAGAGGGTGCTTAGTGAGATCATCGCTCCAGTAGTAAGCTTAACAGTGGATGAAATTGTAAACGAAATGGAGTCAGCCTATAGGGCATACTCCAATTACATTTTAAAAATAGCCTACCTGGAGAAATAGTGGTCAGGTTTTCAAGAAGACAAACCAGAGATGCCATTTTAAAAGCAACATCAGCAACTCCACTGAAAATGGGAAATGTAACCATCAAAACCTTAAAGGACATTCCATTTGAAATTCGACAAAAGAGGAAAAGTTACAAGGACTTAATTTATTTCCTTCAAACTAATGGGATATCGTACAGATGGGCGGTTCCGGAGGCTGTCATCTTTAAGATCAACGATAGAAGAGAGAAGATAGACTCCACTTTTAAAGCTAAAGAATTTTTGAGACGACAGCTGGGGACAGATGAAGAGTCCAAAGAGGAAGAAACGAAGTCTAGTGACTCTGCTACCTTTGGAACGGAAGAGGACTCTGCGGCAGAAAAGGGTGCAGGACCTGCCAGAGTGGTATACGATTTCAGAGACAGAAAGTCGAAGTAAAGGCAGAAGGACTTGGAAAATGGCCTTTTGAAGCAAAGAACAAGAAGATGATCAGAGATCTCTCTCATAACAACTAATAAAATAACACATAAATAGTGAATTGTTATAAGCAAGAACTCTTCAAGTATATTGTGATATTAACACTTATAACAGTGAAAAGATCTCCTCCTCTTGGGGTTTTAGTTTAGTGTGGTTTGCTTTCCTTTATCCTTAGTTGTAGTCCCTTCCCTAATAGTTCTTTGTAGTTTTTGTAGTATTTGCAAAATAAAAAATATCCTCCGGGGATTCTAAAACAAGAAAAAGAAAGAAAGGTTAAAGCGCCTGGGGCTCTTCAGCTTAGAGAAATGACGGCTGAGGGGTGACATGATCGGAGTATACAAGATTATGCATGGGGTAGAGCAGGTGGAGAACAAAGTCCTTTTCTCCCTTTCTCACAAGACAAGAACTCGTGGGCACTCCATGAAATTGCTGAGCAGTCGGGTTAGAACAGATAAAGTGAAGTACTTCTTCACCCAAAGAGTGGTTAACACGTGGAATTCACTGCCACAGGAAGTGGTGGCGGCTAGAAGCATAGACAGCTTCAAAAGGGAATGAGATAAGCATATGGAGCAGAGGTCCATCAGTGGCTATTAGCCACAAGGTATAGATAGGGACTCTGGGGCAAGTGATGGTATAGATAGGGACTCCGGGGCAAGTCTTCTTGGTGCTTGGGGGGGGGGGTCAACAGTGGGAGGGCTTCTAATGTCCTAGCCCCACTGGTGGACCTCCTGATGGCACCTGGTATTTTTGGCCACTGTGTGACAGAGTGTTGGACTGGATGGGCCTTTGGCCTGATCCAACATTGGCTTCTCTTATGTTCTTATAGATGGAACACTCTGGGGCAAGGGATGCTCTGTGTTCTTGGTGCTTGGGGAGGGGGTCAACAGTGAGAGCTTCTAGTGTCCCGGCCCCACTGCTGGACCTCCTGATGGCACCTGGTATTTTTGGCCACCGTGTGACACAGAGTGTTGGACTGGATGTAACATTGGCCTGATCCAACATTGGCTTCTCTTATGTTCTTATTGTTAGAGTGAGTAGTTAGGGTGCAGTTTTATTTAGGACAAACCTAAATAACAATGGAAACGTTTTCTTCGATTTAGTGATCGATCGACTGGCCTTTATAGTTTGGTCCCTGGCATAGCCTGCACGGTTTCAAGTGCCTTGTTTCTAATCAAGCCCACCTTGGTGCCGAAAGGGTAGGGACGATGGCAGCACGCCCCCCCCCCCTCATGGGCAGAGGCACAAAATGGCCGGAGACAATGGCACCCTCACCCGGTGGCGCTTGCCCTGGATCTTGGCCCGGGCGATCTCTGAGCTGCTGCGCCGAGGTCCACGCCGTCGACGGGCATAGCTGGCTTCCTGGATCTCCTTCATCTTCTTCCTCTGCAGACGGAGCTGGTGGCTGCAGCCCACGTTGTACCTGCAAGGAGGAGGGAGGACCGAGTCTCGCCCGCCGCAAAAGCCCTTCGCAGGCTGCCAGTTCATCCTTTCACGGAAAAACGGCCTGACGTCTGCGGCATGAAAACCCTACAGAGTTGCCTGAAGACTACATCCATTTGCTTGCCCGCCCACCCGTAAAACAGAGCGGTAACATCTGGCCTAACTGAACACCTTTATACTACATTCAGATCTTGGCATGAGGAACTGTAAACATTATTTATATATATATATATAAATTTTTTAAATTAAAGCAAAAAACCCTATAAATCCTCTTTACTTTAAAGTACTTCAGTGTATCTCTTTTTCAGAATAGCATATTAGAATACTGAATGTATGCAAGGGATATTAGGATGCCTGCCAAAATAACAGCCTTTTTTGGAGGGGGAGGTAGTGTTAAGTGCCCTCCCTGCCTGACAGGAGAGAATGAAGATTCCCAGACACCTTTCGACATTTATCTGCCAGTTTGACATATTTATTGCTTTGCAACTGTTGACTCTACAAGCTTAACTTGTTATTTAGTGTCACTTTGCATATCTTCATCATGTTGCATGTTAATTTGCTGTCCATTCTCTGGTTATAAGTCTGAACCTTGCCTGCCATTCTAACATATTTGATAAAGCGTGCCCTTGCACACGAAAGCTCATACCTTGAATAAACCTTTGTTGGTCTTAAAGGTGCCCCGCTGGACACTAACTTTGTTATAAAAGCAAATGGTAATACCAGCCAACTTCCCTATCCTCTGTTCATTTCTGGGCTTCTGCTACAACCTTGTTTCATTTCCCAGAGAAATCAGTGCCACTTTGGATGTCCCTTGGTGACAGTATCAGAACAGCCCATTTAAATTCTCATTCAATGACGTTATATCCCCCTTGAGCCTCAAGGACGTCCCCGCTGCCATTACCTCTTGGCACATGTTACGGAACAGAATCTCTTAGAACCTCGGAACTGATTGGCGGGGCCGTACTTTCCACAGAATTCACACTTCAGCAGGTTCCCTTTCTTGTCTTGCTCTGTGGAATGAGAAGCACAGGGGAACACGGGTAACGACCCAAGAAACTTTTCATCAACTAGTAGCAGCACAGCGCAAGGTTGAGATAGTCTGCTGAAAGACAGCCAACTCAGAGGAACTCGGAAGCCTGTTCAAAATTATGACAGCAAGGTATACAGTATAAACAGAATTCTGCATTTCTCCATGCAATCTTTGTGAGTCCCGTCAAAAGATTTTGGTTTCCTGTCCAAATGCAACACAAAAGTGACCCGGAAACTCCAGCTGGTGCAGAATGCAGCAGCGCGCTGGCTGATGGAATCGTCTGTGGCACGCACGCATTCAGCCAGTGCTACGCCAGCTGCACGGGCTACCAGTTGAGAACCGGATCTGCTTCAAGGTTATGGTGTTGACCTTTAAAGCTCTACGCGGCCAGGGACCAGCATACCTTTGGGACCGTCTCTCCTCATATGTGCCCTGGAGAGCCTTGCGCTCCGCAGAACAACATCTACTGGTAGTCCCTGGCCTGAAAGACGTCCGCTTAGTGTCAACCAATTCCAGGGCCTTCTCTGCCATGACCCCCACCTGGTGGAATGCGCTCCCAATTAAGATCAGGGCCCTGCGGGACTTACAATTCCACCGGGCCTGCAGAATGGAGCTGTCCCTCCAGGCCTTTGGTCGAGGCGGCGGCTGTTTCCACCATCTTGGCCTCCCCTGCCTGTAGTGGGCCTACAGAGGCCTACTCTCCTGCTGCGAATGTCTAACAGGAAGCGTGTTGGGCTGCTCTGAAGTAATTTTACGTTCCTTAGCTGCCATCCTGTTTTATTTAACTGTTTATTTAACTGAATAAATACAACGGGATCTAGAAAGAGGCTCTGGGAGAGTGCGCTGGCTTTGGCCAAACAGTGTCAATTTGCTGTGGCGACCTCAGCAGCGTATAATGACAGAGTCCACTGTTTTCTCCAGAGGGACTGATCTGTGCTACCTGAAGAGCAGTTGTAATTTTGAGTGCTCTCTAGCCCTCACCCGGAGAGTGGCAACAATTGTTACCCAGGCTCCACCCCTCAAATCTCCAGGAATTTCCATACCTAAAGCTGGCAACTTTATCTCCTCCCCTCTCAGCAGCCTCTTTCTAGGCAAAATTCTGTCTTTCTCATTAGCGGGGAGCAAAGCAGCGTACCTCATTCTCTTTGGCTTTGCGATCTGTACAGCAACACTGTAAGGTAGGTTAGGCAGAAAGTCTGTGGCTGGTCCAAAATCACCCAGGCAGCTTCCATAGGGATGCTCCTGCGGAACAGGAGCAAGCAGCCAGGGCTAGTGATGCCATGCCAGTCTGGAGGCATGAAGTCACCCTGAGAGTGCTTGCAGGCCTAGGGTTGCCATTGCCAACAAAGACAAATTGATGCAAAGGAGGATGGAAAAGTCTCAATATCTCTATTTTGCCTTAAATTGGTTTTGATGCCAGCAGAGTGAGAAAATGCCAGAGGCTCTGGGTGGGTGCCCCATGGTAAATGCACCAAACAATTCCTAAAGATTTTCCAAAACACTACTCTGTCGATAAATCGCTTTCTACACTCACAGCGTCCCCTGCCAGAATGCAACATTTGTCTGCCTGTCTGTCTTCAGGTTTACATCCCCCCACCCCCACCCCGCCTAGGGAAAGGGCAGTCTTTCCCTGCAGTGGGAACCAAAGCAGCTGACATCAGTATCATCTCCCCCGTATGATCCGCACAACTACCCTATGAGGTATGTTAAGGTTGAAAGTGTGTGAATGGTCCATAATCCCCCAGGCAGCTTTTAAAACATGAACCTGGGACCTGCACACCATCCTCTGAAGCGCTCTCTGTGGCAGTAATGGGGTGACTGCTGGCACCTTTTCCTATCATTTTTTGCCTTGTGGTATTCTGCTTGTGGTGTGATCTGTTGTCTTTGCGGTGTGGCATGATTGTGTTATTGGGTTTGTTTCTTTTGAAGGGGAAGTGATGTGTTGTGAGTGAGGACATATTTTACCTCAGAATACAGTAGGTTCCATATGCAACTGACAATTCCAATTGCCTTGCGGGGGGGAGTTTGAGGTGTGGAATGGAGTGAAATCCAATCAGCTTCCATATGCAAAAGACCTTGAAACGCTGGGCGGGACTACACAAAGCAGCCAGTCAACCCAGCCAGCGTCTTCTGACTAACAGTTCTTGCGGCCAAACACTAAAGGTGTGCATTTGGAACGTTGGAGCCCACTACGGCTTTATATATAAGGGAGAGATTCACTGTATTTTATTTCTGTTGTGAGCTGCCCTGAGCCCGTCGTGGGATAGGGCGGGATATAAGTGTGACAAATAAATAAGTAAATATGAACAGAGGAAGCTGCCTTGTACTGAATCGGGCCCTGGGTCCATCAAGGACAGCATAGCCGGCTCAAACTGGCAGCAGCTCTCCAGGGTCTCAGGCGGCAGAGGTCCTTCACATCATCCACTGCCTGGTCCTTTTAACCAGAGATGCCTCTGGGGACTGAGCCTGGGATCTTCTGCATGCCAGGCAGAGGCTCTACCCCTGAACTGTGGCCCCTCCCAACCCTGAAGGACCACCACCCTCCAACATGGCACACAAGATACAGAGAAGTCCTGGTGTGTTTCCTTTCCTCCAGCCACCTGCTCAAGAGAGAGGGAGGACCAATCTAGAAGCTTGGCTTAGGCCCTGACCCGGATAGCCCAGGCGAGCCCGATCTTATCGGATCTCGGGAGCTAAGCAGGGCCGACCCTGGTTAGCACTTGGATGGGAGACCTCCAAGGAACCTCAGGGTCGTGATGCCGAGGCAGGCAATGGCCAACCACCTCCAAACGTCCCTTGCCTTCAAGCCCCACTAGGGGTCGCCAGAAGCCGCTTGACTGGATGGCAAAAAGGTCTTTTAAAAAATAAATAAAAACAAAAACTTGGCTCAGCAGCCCAGCCGCACGCCTGCAAGAAGAGAGAAATAGGGATGAAGGGAACTTCTGAGGCCAACCCATTAGCAGGAAGGAAACGGTTGACCCTCCTCCCCCCCTCCCCCAGTCTGATACCATCCCCCTCACCTGCCGTCACGCTGTCGCCTCCCGGGGAGTTGCTGGGCTGGCTCTCGGTCTGTCTGGAGGAAGCCCCTCCCTGAAGAGGCTTCTCAAAGTCTTTCAGGAGCTGAGAACAACCCACCTGTGTGGGGGGGAAAGAAAAGAAGCCTGACTCACGAGAAGCAACCTCCTCCTCAGACGCTAAGCGTGTTTCTCTGGGCAGCCCTGCAGGATCACAGGCACTTCTCCGGCCTCCAGCGCACCTGTGCTGAAGGGAACCAAGAAGAGCCATTGGGCAGAAGAGGAAGAAGAGACTGGATTTATACCCCGCCCTTCACTACCCGAAAGAGTCTCAGAGCGGCTCACAATCTCCTTCCCTTCCTCTCCCCACAATGGACACCCTGTGAGGTGGGTGGGGCTGAGAGAGCTCTTGACAGAAACTGCTCCTGAGAGAAGAAGAGATTTTATTTTTTATTTATTTTTGGATTTATATCCTGCCCTCCCCAAAGGCTCAGGGCAGCTCACAAAGAGGCATAAATGCCAAGGTTAAAACAATAAAACAATATAAAGAACAGTATAAAATACAGCATAATACAATTCACTAAAATACCAGAGATTGGATTTATACCCTGCCCTTCACTACCCAGAGGAGTCTCAGAGTGGCTTACAAACTCCTTTCCCTTCCCCTCCCCACAACGGGCACCCTGTGAGGTGGGTGGGGCTGAGAGAGCGCTGACAGAAACTGCTCTTGGGAGAACTGCTTGTGAGAGAACTTGTGACTGACCCAAGGTCACCCCAGCAGCTGCATATGGAGAAGTGGGGAATCAAATCCAGTTCTCCCGGATTAGAGTCCGCGCTCCTGACCACGACACCGAACTGGCACAGAGAGCAGGAGGAAGGAGAGGAGCCCTCTGGACTCCCTTACCGGAAAGGGTTCCGCCCCTTCCTGGATTACGAAGCCCTCGATGATGTGTGTGAGGATCTGGGGTTTGACGATGGCTTGGGGAGGTTTGGAGTCGCCCAGCTGACGCGACACCAAGCCCAGCGTAGACGCAGAAGAGGCGGAGGAAGGCGCGACGGAGCACGGGTCACTCGGGGGCGTGTTGGAGGCGGCGCTGGGGGCGGACTCGGACTTCTCTGAAAGGACAGAAAGAAGCACTGACAGAGTTAGGCGCACCTGAATCCGGTACCCAAGTTGCACTCATCTGGTAAATGGATCGATGGGGGGAAGGCCAGGGGGAGGGGACCCTCCCCCTCATTTTTCTGATTCTTTGCTGGGCCCTCCCATCTCTAGTCTGAATCCAATGAAGACAGAGGTTCTGTGGGGGGGGGGGGGAATGATTTTGGATGCCTCCTTAAACATGGAGGCCCGAGTCTCCCACACTCACCAGCATACTGGGGGAGCATGACTCCAAAGTCTCACTCCGTGCAAGGGTCCCCAAACCCTCTGAGCCTGCAGGCCCCTTTGGAACTCTGACTCAGCGTGGAGGGCGCAGCCACAAAACGGCTGCTGCGGGGGGCGCGGCCAGCAACGAGACGGCCACCACCACTTACTATCAGTCACAGTCAGCGTTCCCTCGAAGCAGAGTCAGTGTGAGCCAGCTCCCAGTTTTTTTGGCCTCCGGCTCACACATTTTTGTCTCAGCTCAGTAAGGGTGGCTCCAGCACAAACTGATTTATGCAGCAGCCAAATCGCTCACTTCGCAACTTTAATGCCAGTCGCTCACAAAGTGGGATTTTGGCCCACAAGACTCCACAGCTTATAGGGAGCGCTGGTCCAGTGTGAAGACCGTTGTGTTGTGATGGCGACTGCTGCCAAAGCGGTGTGTTTAAAAGCCTGCCACAGGCAATCGAAATCTCCAATGGCCAATCAGATGACTTGTTGGGCAAAAGCCCCGCCCCGCCCAGCCCACTTTCGAAAAACACCTGGGAGGGGAGCAGGGAAAGGTACTGGCGAGCATCACGGTACCCTCGGGCACCGAATGATGAACTCCTGATTGAGTGGCTGGACAGAATGGCAAAAAAAGAAGAAGAAGTTCTGCATCGCTGACTTTCAGCCTCTGTGTATAACTCTGTAAGAAAGAGTGAGCTGAATCTGCATTTGTCTTTCCCACCGGTGTCCCAGCCTTTTGACCCCGTCTTCAAAAAAGCTGTCTACATTTGGTGTCATTTTCACACCTCAACAGTGCTAGCATACTTTTGCACATCCACATATGTTTATCGTCCTTTCAGGGCGGCTCCACTGTCATTGCACCTCTGCACTGCTTTAAAATAATCTTCTCCAAACAACATTCAAACAAGCATAGAGAAAGAGGGCGTCACAGCCGCATGAAACTGATTTAAAGATGCAAATGCAGATTCGACCAGAATCCACTCAAGAGCTATTCCGCATGCACCCACCTAAACCTCTGAGCGTCTAAAGACGGGGAAATCATGTTTACCCCCTTTCCCCAGATTCCTCTCTGCGCACAGTGACATTCTTATCCATTTATTCCTCCCCAAAGACCCAAGAAGACGACTGCTCTGCTGGAACCATGCGGAACTTGCCTCTGTTCCCTTCGCCTCCAAGGCCGCTCTTCTCGTCTGTGCCTTTGGGACTCTCTGCCACAGGAGAGGACTTGGTGGGCAGGAGGGATGGCAGGGCGCCAGGTTCATCTCTCTCCTCTTCGGATTCTGCTTTGCGCTTGACTGCCAAAGTCTGGGGCTTGCTCTGCGTGGGGAGAACGAGATCAGCTCAGGAGAAAGGAGCAGACTCCATGCTGGAGGTTCCTTCAGGGAAGGGCTGGTGGGGCCCTGCAGACGTCTTGAGACAAACATCCTCCAGATTCACCTACATGGGCCAGAGTGCAGGCCCGGGTACCGATCAGGGGTTGCCAACCTCCAGGTGAGAAGTATAACAAAAGACACACAGGTTCAAACTGTGCATAAATAATGGGAAATAATGGATTCGACAATCAACCAGTATGATCATCTGAACCTATTCAAACAGAGTAGTTATTCCAAATACAATATGATAATTAGAAACTCAGAAGTCCACAGTCCAAATGCAAACACAGTCTTATAAGTAAACCTTCAGAAAAGGCCAAAGTCAAAGAGTCCAAGTGTAGATGTTTGTAAGTCCTCTTCACAAAATCCTTGCCTCACTGCTTGTGTATTTTCTGAATGTCAAGGAGGAGGAGGAGGAGATTAGATATATACCCCGCCCTTCACTACCCAAAGGAGTCTCAAAGCGTTTTACAAACTCCTTTCCCTTCCCCTCCCCACAACAGACACCCAGTGCGGTCGGTGGGGCTGAGAGAGCTCAGACAGAAACTGCTCTTTTTCAAGGACAGCTCTGAGAGCACTGTGACTGACCCAAGGTCACACCAGCACCTGCACACGGAGGAGTGGGGGAATCAAACCCGGTTCTCCCAGATTAGAGTCCTGCGCACTTAACCACTACACCAAACCGGCTCCCGGGACTGTTTTTGCATTTGGACCGGGGACTTTTGAGTTTCTGATTATCATATTGTATTTGGAATAATTACTGTGTTTGAATAGGTTCCGATTATCAGTGATTAATACATTATTTTTCGTTATTTATGCACGGTTTAATCCTGTGTATCTTTTGTTATAACCTCCAGGTAATGGCTGGAGATCTCCCACTACTACAGCTGATCTCCCGGTGACAGAGACCAATTCCCCTGGAGAAAATGGCCGTTTTGGAAGGCGGACTCTTTGGCATCAACCCTAACCCACTGAAGCCCCTCCCCTCCCCAAACCCCGCCCTCCTCAGGCTCCACCCCCTAAATCTCCAGTTATTTCCCAATCCAGAGCTGGCAGCCCTAGTATCAATACTAATATACTCCCACCAAGCAGAGAAAGACAGGATAAACACGCTTTAAATAAACAAAAACTTGCTATCCAATACTCTGAAATAACAAGAAGTAAAGTTCTGTGATGAAATCAGAACTTCAGGCCCATGGTTGATTCCCCACACCCCAAGCCCCAAATCCTACACCATATAAGCACAATTAAGAACATCAGAAGGGCCCTGTTGGATCAGACCAGTGGTCCATTTAGTCCGGCATCCCATCTCGTGCAGTGGCCAACCAGTTCCTCTGGAGGGCCAACAACAGGGCAGAGAGGCCGAGGCCTTCCTAAGAACACAAGAAGAGCCCTGCTGGATCAGACCAGTGGTCCATCTAGTCCAACATCCTGTCTCACACAGCGACCAACCAGTTCCTCTTGAGGTCCAGAAACAGGGCATAGAGGCTGAGGCCTTCCCCTGATATTGCCTCCTGGCAGTTTACTGCCTCTGAATGTGGAGGTTTCCCCTTCAGTCACCATGGCTTGTAGCTACTGAAATGGATGTCCTGTAAAGTATGAGCTGGTAATGTCCAAAGTAATTCTGGGTATCTGCCTCAGGAACACCAGGACAATCCAACAGGATCCTTGCAAAATCCAGCTAGGGTACAAACAGGGCCAGCCAAACATTTTGACATCGGAGATTCAAAATTTGAATGGAACCCTCCTTTCCTCTAACACGGGACATGATACCCCACTCCAAAATTTATCTGCACAAGCCCTGCTGCAGACGGAAAGAGCTCCATAGGACCACATCTTGGGCAGGACAGCTTCCAAGGACGTGGTGCCGATGAGGGTCCGTTATCGGTCCCTATCCCCTATCCCGCTCTGTCACTTGAAGCAGCGTCCCAATGTTTTGGACCCCAAATGATCCCGTGCACTGCCAGCGAGGGAAGGGAAGGCTCACCTGACAGATGGAACCCACTGGGTGGCAGGAACAAGCAGGGCTGTCTGCCGGGAGGTCCTTTTCCCCTTAGAAAGACCCAGATCCAAAGGGCAACCAAGGTCACGCCTCGGCCTGTTGTGGCAAGCCAAAGGGCGGGGGGGCTGGTGAGGGTGACTGGTGAGGGCGACCTTTGCTCACCGCTCTTCTGGGGGAGACCCTCCCAAGCACATTAAAAAAGGCCCCCAGAAGCTGTCTGGCCTGCACCCCTCAAGACAAACCGTGCCAAACGTAGTCTGTCGGCCATGTCTGATATCTCCCCAGCAGCCTGATAAACGTCCGGTTTTGTGCAGTAAATAAGAGTTGTGGACTAGGACCCCTGGGAGACCTGGGTTCAGATCCTCACAATCTACCATGGAAGCTTGCTGGGTGACCTCGGTCCTGTCACAAGCTCTCAGCCTGACCTACCGCACTGGGTTGTTGTCATAGGACAATGGAAGGGGGGGGGAGAGGTTTTAACTGGGGAGAAAGTGAAATATAAATAAACAAACACAAAAGGCCATCTGTGCTATTCAGGGGCGCAAATGCTGTTGTCAGACGCTCGACGAACTGACTGGTACATCGCGAGGTTAAAACTAGGCGTGATGTTTGGCGTGAGTTTAAACTAGGGGTCCCCCGACCCGACTTGTATGGGGTTACAGCCAAATGTCACTGTCCTTAAGCAAAGCTTGCAGGAGAGCCGGGGCCTGATTCAGATCGGGACTGTGGCACTGCGGCCACGGTGCCAGGGGAGGCGATGCTTTCGGCCTCTACCGCCAGCACTTCCCTGAGCTGAAATGCCCCTGGAAGGACACCGTTTGCCCTGACGTGGAGCTGCATCTGTACCAGACACTGCACACGAGGCCCTACAACTGGGCCCACAGTGCCACCCCAGGGCTGTGGTGGGGGGAAAGGCTGAAGCTCCCTCACCCCTTCCGCCACAGCCCTGCCCTGAACCCGGCCTCGTCCTGCTTGCAAGCTTTACTTATTTAATTCAATTCAGGTGGGTAGCCCTGTTGGTCGGAAGCAACAGAACGCAGTCTGAGTCCCGTGGCACCTTGAAGACCAACAAAGTTTCGTGCCTGCACACGAAAGCTGATACCTAGAATTAAACTTTGTTGTCTTCAAGGTGCCACGGGACTCAAACTTTATTCTTATACTTATTAAGAACAGCAGTGTTGCATAGATTAGGAAAAGCTGTCAGAGGAGTTACAAAGAAATTTAAATGGATTAATACTCAGAATTGTATTCTTGCAGCTATAGTAATTAACCGTTGGTAATTACATATTTACTAGTTATTATATTGGTAGTACAGAGGCCGCAGTGGCTCAGAGGTTAGGACGCTGAACTGCAGACCCGAAGGTCTGTAGTTCGGCGGTTCAAGACCCGAGTGCCGCATGACGGAGTGAGCTCCCATCTCTGGCCCCAGCTCCTGCCAACCTAGCAGTTCGAAAGCAAGAGATTGCAAGTAGATAAATAGGTCCTGCTTCGGTGGGAAGGGAACAGCGTCCCGTGCGCCTCGGCATTTAGTCATGCCAGCCACACGACCACGAAGTCTTCGGACAGTGCTGGCTCTTCGGCTTAGAAACGGAGATGAGCACCGCCCCCTAGAGTTGAATTTGACTGGCTTTTGAACAAGGGAAACCTTTAGCTTTTTATATGGTAGTATAAACCTTTGTATAAAGACTAAGAAAAAAAAAATTACTCCTTTCTCATGTTTTTTGTTTATATAATTTCCTACCTAGCCCTTTAGATAGGAAATAATGGAAACAAATGCGGAAATATATTATGTTGAACTATAGACTATTTTACTATGTTTTGATGCGTTATGATACTCTTTGTTATGGTACTTTTTAATGTTTTATATTCTTACATATCCTTAAAACGCCTTTAACAAATGATGTTTTATGCCTCTCGCCTTTCCCTTTATCCCTTTTCATTTTGTGTCCCCTTTAAATGGTAACAGAAAAAAATTATACACACACAACACACACACACAAAACCCCCAGCAGTGTTCAAGCTCCAACCCCATCCGAGTCAGGTCGAGGGACCTCCAGCCAAAACCAGTGCCAAACGTCGCCTCTAGTTCCGCCACAGAGATTGGGGGGGGGGGGGAGGGAGGGGGCCGCATTCTGGGCTAAACGGGTGTTTTGGCTTTCGCTGCAGAGGCCACGCCCCCCCCCCTCCCCAGTCCGCTCCGACGGCGTCACTTACAGGCAGCTGAACGGGCTGGACATAGTAGGCGGCCGCTGGTGCCTGGGCCATGCCGGGAGAGGAGGTCATGCTCTTCACCACCTGCGCGGTGCCCTGAACTTGCGCCACGTTTACTCCGGGGGTGAGCGGGGGAGGAGGAGCTTCTTGGGGAGGGGGGGGAGAGGAGCCCTGGGACAGCAGGGAGGCCGTGTGGGCCTGGGACACCGGCTGGACCACGGCTGGCATCCCCCGGGAGGGCTGGCCGCCCACGTTCATCTGGGGCAGGCCCAAGGCCTGGGCCTGGGCCTGAGCCAAGCCCTGCTGGCGACTGCCCACCACCTGCACCGGGATGTGAGGCGGGGGCTGCTGGGATGCCGACATCTTGGCAGCGCCCAGCTGGGGGACTTTGAGCGGGGCGACGGGTGGCTTGGATTGGATGGGGATGGGCGACTTGGTGGCCGCCTGGCAAGGGCTCTCCTGCTGCTGCAGCTGCACATGTGGCGACTGCAGCATGGGCTGGACCACAAGCGTCTGGGCCGCCTGCTGGCCTTGGAGGGGCGGGGCCTGCTGGCCTTGGAGGGGAGGGGCCTGGGGCGGGGCGTGCTGCTGCGGCTGGGCCAGCTGGGGGTGGGTGGCCGTGTGCAGGAGCTGGGACTGGCGGTGCTGGAACTGCTGCTGGTGGTGGATGGCGATCTGCTGCTGGATCACAACTTGCTTCTGGAGGTGGATCTGCTGCTGCTGCTGGATCAGCGAGTGGGGCTGGATCTGGGTGTAGGTGGCTGGAACGAGAAGAAGAAGAAGAAGAGGAGATTGGATGTATACCCCTCCCTTCACTACCCAAAGGTGTCTCAGAGCGGCTCACAAACGCCTTTCCCTCCCCCTCCCCACAACAGACACCCTGTGAGGTAGGTGGGGCTGAGAGAGATCTGACAGAAACTGCCCTTTTCTTTCAAGGACAGCTCTTATCAGACCTAGGCTTGCCCAAGGTCATCCAGCTAGGTGCAAGTGGAGGAGTGGGGAATCAAACCCGGTTCTCCCAGATTAGAGTCCACGCACTTAAACACTACACCAAACAGATTGGATGTATACCCCGCCCTTCACTCGGAGTCTCAGAGCGGCTTACAGACTCCTTTCCCTTCCCCTCCCCACAACAGACACCCTGTGAGGTAGGTGGGGCTGAGAGAGCTCTTGACAGAAACTGCTCTTTTTCAAGAACAGCTCTTATCAGAACTATGGCTTGCCCAAGGTCATCCAGCCAGGTGCAAGTGGAGGAGTGGGGAATCAAACCCAGTTCTCCCCGATTAGAGTCCGCGCACTTAACCACCACACCAGACTGGCTCTGGAGAAAAGGGGGGGTTAGGGTCACGCCGCACCTGGGGGGGGGGGCTTGAGGGAGAGGCCTTTGGGAAAGGAGGACCCAGGAAAGGGGTCTCATGGGGGTGCTGGTAGGGCAGCGGTGGAAGTGGCGGACTGTGTTCATTTGGTCCCTCCCCCCCCCCAGGACTCTAGATGCAAACAGTCTTCCCTCTAAGCTGAGTCGGTGTGAGCCAGCTCACACTTTTTTAGTCTCTGGCTCACATATTTTTTTGTCTTTGCTCAGGAAGGGGATGGGGCTCCAGAGCAAACTAGTTTATGCAGCAGCCAAATCGCTCACTCACGACTTTGATGCCGATATCTCATAAGGTTGAATTGTTGCTCACGAGACTCCGCGGCTGAGAGGGAGTGTTGGGTGCGAACTGGATAATCTGAGGTTTCTTCGAGCAGGGACGGGTTTTAATATTACATTGGCAGTTGCCAAGTTCACCTCTCAGCCGGTTAAGATTAAAAGCCATTAAATTTTTATAGTATATAGGCATGTGTCTTGAATACATGTCCTTCTTCTTCTTCTTCTAGTCTTAGTGCGACACTGTTCAGAGCCACTTTGGCTGGAAGGGCAGGATCGTGAAAGCAAACGATCCCCCTCCCCCCTCCCCGCCCACAAGCAACTCGGCCTGGGACTTCCTGCTGGCAGAGCCCGGGCTTTGCGTGCGGGAAGTTCCAGTCTGAGTTGCTGGGGGTCCAAGGAGCACGGGCCTCCATCTCTGTCGCCGCCAGCTGGCTGAGGGTTAAAAAAGGAAGACTGGCCTCACATTCAGCGGAAGGCAACTTTGTACGCTGGAGGTTATTTCGATGACCTGCCCCGATGACCCTTCTGCCCCAATAAAGAAAACAAAGCCGAAGAAATCAGCTGTTCTGTCCAGGGGGGTACACTTAAACGGAGGGCCTTTTGCCTCCAGGCCACCAGCACCAACAAGGAGACCCACACCGGCCAAGTTCCTTCTGGCACAGGGCGAGGGGCTGGGCGGGCACAGGGCAGCAGTGTTCCCTCTAAGCTGAGTTAGTGCGAGCCAGCTCACAGTTTTTTAGCCTCCGGCTCACCCATTTTTGTCTTCGCTCGGGAAGGATGGGGCTCCAGAGCAAACTAAGTTATGCCGTAACCAGGTCGCTCGCTCACAACTTTAATGCCAGAGGAGCTCACAAAGTGGAATTTTTGCTCACAGGACTCCACAGTTTAGAGGGAGCATTGCAAGGGGGGCAAGGCAAAATGTGGGTGAGGGTGCTTTCCGGTCCACTGAGTCCCAAGGACCACCTACCAGAACTGATCAAGGTCTGGCTCGGGGCCGGTGTGGCGGTCCTGGTCAGGTTCATGCCCACGGTCTGCGGGCCGGCCCCATCGGCTTCAGCCTTCTTTGCCGCCGCGTTTTCCGCTTCCGTCTGACTCCCCTGGCTGACGGTGACCGCCTGGGCAGCGGAGGCTGCTGGTAAGGGCTGAACCACGCCAGTTCCTTTCCTCTGGCAGCCACCCACCGGGCCAGACGACGTGGCCTGGCTCAGGCTGGTGGGTACCTGGTTCCCCACCGAGGACACCACGCCCCCGGAGAGGCCGTTGCTCCCCGCCGCCCCCTGGCTGAGATTGAGCGACTGGCCCACGTTGCCAGAAGACGTCTGGGTCACTGTCAGCGTCTGGCTGGCGTGCGTCACCTGGGGCTGGACCGAAGCCTGGGAGATCCCGGGCAGGGCCGCCTTTGGAGCAGAAGCCTGAAGCTGGACGTTGGCTGCTGACGTCTGCTGGCTCCGGACGGCCAAGTTCTGCACCTGGGGAAAATGCAGGGAGAGAAAGGGGAGCCGTTAGCGAGGGCCGTGAGGATGGCGACCAGGAGTCCGGGATCACATGCTGGCGTGGCCAGCTGGGACACGGGGTCGGCCGGAAACCTTAGCTCTGGGTTTTCCTTTGCTCTCCTGTCCGGAGAAAGAGCATCGGCAGGTATCAAGAGACCGCCCCACAAAGCAAAGTAGACAAGATAAGGACCGATCCCTTGGTGAGAAACACCGATCTCAGCCCCTCTCTTGGGTTGAAGATTAAAGATCTCATGGCACTTTCCAAAAGACACCGCTTTCAAAGGGGAGCCCCCTCGCCTCCCCATATGCAGCTCCCCCCCCCCGCCGAACATGGGCTGCCAGCCTCCTTCCGCTTGACTCCGTCAGTTCAGAGCTGCCTTTCCTACCCCCACACCTTTCGGCACAGAGCTCAGCATTTCCTCGACCGAAGTAACCACCAGTGTTCCCTCTAAGGTGAGCTGGTGTGAGCTCGCTTACAGTTTTTTAGCCTCCGGCTCACAGATTTTCGCCTTCGCTCGGGAAGGAGGGCTCCGGAGCAAACTAATTCATGCAGCAGCCAAGTCGCTGACTCACAACTTTAAGGCCAGTCACTCACAAAGTAGAATTTTTGCTCACAAGACTCCACAGCTTAGAGGGAGCGTTGGTCACCCCACTGCCTGCCTTTCAAAACACCTCCCCCTCCCACTATGCCTTGATGAGGAGCTATAAAGCGGCTTCCGTCAAAGAAGCAGGAGGAAGGACGGAAAGAAAGCAGGGGCAGGCGGAGGGGCAGAGAACCTGACTCTGAAAACGCTCCCCAGCTGCCCCGGGAACAGGCAGAAGGGAAGGGGCGGCACCCCCGCAAGCCGCTCTACAGAGCCTCACGGCCGGGCCAGTCCCACAGTGTCCCCTCTAAGCTGAGTTAGTGTGAGCCTAGCTCACAGTTTTGTAGCCTCCGGCTCACAGGGTTTTGTCTTCACTCAGGAAGGATGACTCCGGAGCAAGATAACTGATGCAGCGGCCGAATCGCTCGCTCACAACTTTAAGGCCAGTTGCTCACAAAGAAGAATTTTTTGCTCACAAGACTCCACGGCGTAGAGGGAGCACTGCGTCCGGAGTGGTCTGTACCAGCTTTCGCTGCATTCCCAAATTATTCTCTCTCTCTCTCTCTCTCTCCAAAGATGCAAAAAGTCACCCGACCAAGGTCTGAACGAGCCCAGCCGCCAGCAGCACTGGTTCGTTCCATGCAAGTTAACCAAAGAACCGCAAAAGGGACACCGCTGGTCTGTGTGGATCACAGAAAGAAACGCCTGCTCTGGAGAAGGGAAAAGGCCACCGAGTGAAGCATGCAAAAAATGGAATGGATGCTGCCGTGAGCCCCAGAACGTGGCACAGATTTTACTGCGCTAAGCGAGGAAGACTCGATCTACAAAGAATGCACCCGAGGGCTGGGATGGGCTGGTCGTGGGGGACCCCGGGGGAGGGCGTCACTGACCTGGTCCGTGTCTGCGTGGACCCCGGGAGAGTGAGCGGACGGCACCTTCTGCTGAACAGCAGCCACAGCCCCGTTTGGCATCAGGATGAGCTGAGAGGTGAGAGGCACATTGCGGCCCAAGGTCCGGTTCACCTGCAACAGGTTCCCCAGCTGCGGCTGTTGGGGGGGCGGTCAGGTGGTGTGGAGGCGGGAAGAGCAGAAGGGAGAGAGAGGAGGAGGAGAAAGCGAACCACAAGCAAAACAGGTTACAACGTGACTCGGGGGGCCACCTACTGACACTCAACCCATCTCGGCCGCGTCCTCTTTGTCACGCCCTCTTTGTGGGAGATTGGGGGGAGAGGGGAGGTACTTCTTCGTTTTAAAGGTCAAGCCCCAGTCATCTTTCCACGAGGGGCCGGAAGCGCGGGTCACCTAAGAACGGGCAACGGGGTAGCGGGGCGGGAGAGAAGAATTGCTCCGGCTTTTCCCCATGCGGGAGAACTCCGGCTAAGGTTGCTCAAATGCAAGGTCAAAAATATAAGGCCAGCTCAACAAAAAAAAGGGAGGCTAAGGACATGCACAACTGAAAACCCACAGATGATTGGTGAGATGGGGAAATGGCGGATAGGGTTTTGTTTCTCCTTCGGTCTTATTGAGATAGATCGATTTCCCTCTGGACAGAACAGACTGAGGCGGCGTATTCAAGTGAGCCATACCCCCCCCCCCCGACAGGCAATTGAGACCTAGATCCGAGGCCCAAGGTCTGCCAAGAGGAGAGTTCTACGTGCCAACCCATTACACACAATCTCAGAGAAATGCCATGGGATCTTTAATATTCACGGGAGGGGGGAAGCCTGCGAATGATAGCCACTGTGTATCTTTTCCATCCCTCTAGCGCACCTACATCGAACCATAGAGCTGAGAATCAAATGGATGCATCAAGGGACTCAAGATTCCCCACCTGGTGGCCGAACAGGGAATAGCACACACCAAGCTGAAGACTGGTCCAGAGATGTGGGACATCCCCAAAGCAAGGAGGTCCAGGTCTTTACAAGAGGTGAAAGCAGAGGGTGTACAGTCTCTTACCCGAAGATACATCTGCGCTTGGGACTGGTTAAGAGGCGGTGAGGTGGTGTTCCCCAGCAGCACGGATTGGGTTAGGGTTGTGGCACTGGGTGAGCTGACGCTTTGCGAACGGCTGATCAGCTGTGCGGCGGATGTTGTCGCCAAATTCATCTGTTCAGGGAAATGGGGGAAGTGTCTCAACAGAGCTATCGAGTTGGGGACCCGTGAAGCCTTACAGGAGAGGGGAAACCCCGCCCACCTCCTCATTGGCTCTCTCACCTGCTTTGGCTCTACAGCCCCTCCCACTTCACCCCAATGCTCTCTGGAACCCCACTCCACCTTTGGGTCCACTGTCCCACCATCTCTGCTTGCTCCGTCTCCACTTCCTCCCCCGCCATCTTACTATCCCCCCCCTTGCCCCCCCCCCCCCAACCTGCCCCCCCCCCCTCTCCAGCCCCCTTTACTCCGATCCGCCCCACAGCCTCCACAAAGTCACCCCTCTCCACAAACCCCACTTCTGACCCCCACCCGGAGTTGAGCGTCATTCTCCCTGAGTCCTGCGAGAGCGGTCTGTTCTTGGGAGTTGCCGCAGTAACACAAAATGGCTACCAAGACCTCACAAGGCCTTCTTGAGAGCTCGGTCATCAAAGGACTTGGGGTTTAAGGAGGGCTGTATTTTCTCTCCGCTTCCCCTTCATTATTATTGTTATTATTATTTAAAAGTTTTTAACATTTTCCCGCAAACTTGAGGGTTCCTCTGAGTTTTCAGAAATCTCTACCCAAGCCATGGGTGGGTCCAGTTGCGTACATTCTGATGCACTCAGAAAGGCCACATGAGGCTATTAAACATATTTATTTCTGTGTTGAAAATATTTATGTCTCGCCTTTCCTCGTGGCTCTCGGCAGCTCTCACATCACAGTTAAAACAGTACAATCCCAAACCAGTAAGAATATTTCCTTCCCTCAACCAAAGCCTGCAGCTTATATCAGATTATAAGATCTTTCAACGAAATGGCCCAGTGACACTGCCTGAAGGCGTCTAGCCCTGGGACTCCCCTCATCTCCTCAGGGAGTCTGTTCCACAGGGCGCAAACGACAGGGAAAAGGATCAGGGCTCTGGTGGATGCCTGGTGGGCTCGGTAGAATCACAGAGTTGGAAGGGGCCATACAGACCATCTAGTCCAACCCCCCTGCCCAATGCAGGACCAGCCTAAAGCATCTCTGACAAATATTTGTCCAGCCTCTTCCTGAAAGCTGCCAGTGAAGGGGAGCTCACCACCGCCCTAGGCACCTGATTCCACCTTTGAACCACTGTGACCGTGAAAGAGTTTTTCCTGATATCCAGCCGATACCTTTCCGCATGTAATTTAAACCTGTTGCTTCGGGTCCTCTCCTCTGCTGCCAACTGGAACAGCTCCTTGCCCTCCTCCACATGACAGCCTTTCAAGTATTTAAAGAGAGCCATCATGTCCCCCCCTCAGTCTCCTCTTCTTCAAACTAAACATTCCCAAGGCCCTTCGCCTTTCCTCGTAGGGCTCAGTCTCCAGACCCCTTTTAGGGGGGGGGGGGGACAGCCACTAGGCGGCAACCTGAGGACTGTAGTTGGCGCGTGGGAAAGTATGAAAAGAGACCATCCATATGAGAGGAGACTGGCAGTCAGAGAGGTGGCCCCAGCCCGCGAAGGACTGTGAAGGTCACAGCCAGCTCCTCGAAGAGCACTCAGAAACAAACCGGCAGCCAAGCCGATGGTTTAAGGTCAGCAAGAGATGTTCCTGTTGGCTGACGCCTAAGAATAACCAGGCTGTCAGATTCTGAACCAGCTGCAGTTTCTGAGCTGTCTCCAAGGGCAGCCCCACAAAGAGTGCATTACAGCAATCCAACGGTGAGATTACAAGATCTGGGAGACCCAGGTCCATATCCCGCACTCCGCCATTGAAACTTGGGCCAATCACACGCCCTCAGCCTAACCTGCTTCACAAGGTTCATTGTGAGGAAAGAACGAGGTAAGCTCCAATGAAGAGACAGACAGGCCCTAAATGAAGTACATAAGTAAATAAACGAATGCATGGATCAGCATGGCCAGGTCGGCTGAGTCCATGAAGCGTGAGAGACCAAATGCAGCTGACAGGAAGCGCTCCAGATGACTACGCTGCCCTGCTTTTTCAAACAGCAGTGCTGGATGCACGGGCACCGCCAAGCTCTTCACCTGCTCTGCAAAAGCCAACGCCGCTCCAACCGTAGGTCAAAACTCAGTGCTTTTAAAAGGTGCAAATGTGACCTCCAGTAAGAAATGCAAATCAAAAGCCATGTACACACACCAACAATAGCCACCACCACACAAACCGCAGACCATGGGACTTCAAGGTCAGCCCAGCGAAGGTCCTGGAAGAGACAGCCCAATCTTTTCAGCAGCACCAACATGCTTGAAGAGGAGCCCAGCTGCTCCGGCCCAGAACATCCTCAACATTTAAGTAACTGGATGAGGCCAGGTTGCAGTTGTAAACCCACATCATTCAATTATGCATTCCCAAAATAGTTAATGAAAAGCAGTACGACTCTTAAGGTATGAAACTGCCGATCTATGACTGCCCTCCTTTGACAGACTCCTCTGACAGACCCCATCCGCTTCCCTCCCTCAGAAGCAAGATTTTCCCTCCATTTCTATTTGGTGTCCCTTCACTGGCTGAGCAGCCCTGGTAACGTGTATTCTTCTCTTTAAAGAAGCTTTAGCAGTCCCACCAGTTTCAGTAATAGGTAATGGCTGTTTTCTCAGCCCAGGACCTGAAGGAAAAGTTAGGGTCTCCCCTTAACTTAAATGACAGAAAATGGCTCTTGAGACGCTTCTAAAATTAAAAAAAACAAACAGGTTTTATTTATCATCAAGGGGAAAGGTAAGGTGAAGACAGGGGTTGAAAATGCTGAGGTAAAATAGTTTAAGCGCAAACTCTTATTCGTATTGATCAGGCTAGTGAGAGTTTCTTGAATTATTTACAGTTACTATAGTTCTTTATTTTGAGAGGCTTTTGTTCCTGGGGTTTCCCAAACTACTCCTGCACACTTTATTTGTATAACAGCAGACTCATTTGGTGCTCAGGTGGCTGGTTCCCTTTTCCCAGTACCCAAACCCCTTATCTTGGAACACCAGAAATCTTCTCAAATTGTTAACTGACTTTTAAAAGTCTCCACGAGCAGTTTCCAATCACACTAGACCAAGGAGTCTCTACTCCTCAGAGATCACTTTCCCTGTTTGACTGGGTAGGGATTGTCCTTCTCTCCCTGGAAGATTTTATCCCCTTTTCCTTTGACCTGAATGGGAACCTTCTGTACTACCCAAACTTCCTTGCCAAATTCTCCCCAGTTCTCTTGTCTGTGTTCAAACTGCTCTCAGCTAATACTGACTTCACACTGCGTTTAGTCAAGGTGGAAATCTGACTTTGTCAGACTCAGCACTGAACCCTTTTCTGTCAGGGCTAGTTTAAGAGGGTCTCAACACACGTCATGTGACAGTTAAGGCAGGAATCTGACCGACTCCTCTCAGCATCCAGCTCTCGAAAAGACTTTTTCTCAGCTGATGCCAACCAATCAAATTGCATGGAGCAACCTGTCACTCAAGGCTCTGTGAAGCATTAAGCTGTCACAATCCTGTAGTTTTACAGCACTTTTAAGCCTCTTTGAAAAGTGCAACCCATCACACAGTACAACTCATAAGTGCAGAACTGCCAACGTACGACTGCCTTCCTTTCCCACAGCTGCCTGCCTCTTCCTCGTCATATGCTTCTGCTGGAGGCGGCTCAGTCTTCAGGAAAAGGGAAGGAGCTGAACCACAAAGTCTTTATGGGCTGCCTTTCAGTTCGGCATCTGCCAGGCAATCATGGAGAGTGCTGTGTCCGTGCACGTTTGCCCAGCAATTTGGGGGTGGCACGGACCCTTGGAAAGTGACCGGGGGCTGAGGAAAACCTTTCAGCGCATCTCGGACTTTTCAAAGTGGGACCCACGTCTCACTTGTTTTACTTTCGGGGATCCACTCCTATTCTTCCTGACATAAAATTGCAGGACACACCAATTAACACTGAACGTGGTTCATGTTTAAAGGCAAAGGTTTCTCTTGCTCGAAAGCCAGTCGAATCCGACCCTAGGGTGCTCACCTCCGTTTCCGTAGTTATGTGGCTGGCATGACTAGACGCCGAGGCGCGCGGAACGCTGTTACCATCCAACTGAAGCGGTACCTATTTATCTATTTGCAATTCCTGCTTTCAAACTGCCAGGTTGGCAGGAGCTGGGGCCAGAGACGGGAGCTCACTCTATCACGCGGCACTCGGTTCTCGAACTGCTGAACTACCGACCTTCCGTTCTGTAGCATCACTGGGCAACAACAGGCTGTGCTTCCTGGTGTTCTCTGCATGTGATGCAGAGGGAAACCCAGTGCTGCCACCAAGCCTCCTCTCTCCGCTTACCCTGCTCCACCTGCACCTCCAAGCCTTGCTACTCACCTGCAAAGGGTCCCACCACCCACTATGGGATCCCGACCGACCAACCTTTTAAAAAGCAGCTTGCTTTCTCTTTCGTAGGAAACAGCTGTTTGCTACTGACTTCAGGGGAATTCCTGAGAGCCAGAGGTTCCAAATTTTGATTCTGAAGAGTCACAAGACAAACTTAAATGAGGAACCTGGATCCTGGTTCTGAGGAACATCCCTAATGACTGACAGCTTCTCCTTTTTGAATACTCTTGAGTACCCTTAAGGTACACAGACTTCTGAATGACTTCTCTTCGGACCTCACTGAGAAGGTTTCTCTGCTCTGCTTTAAAGCTGCGCGAAAGGATCCTAGAGACACAGTATTTTTACAGGTGTGTTTTTAATCTGCTCTTAAATTGTATAATCTAAAGACATGCTATTTTTATAGGTGTGTTCTTGATCTACTCTTAAACTGTATAATCTGTATTGACAATTTATTGACAATTTATGCCAATAAAGGCTAACTTGAACTTGAACTACTTTTTGAATATAAATCTCTGCCTCTAGGGCACCTCTGCTGACTTCCATCCACACTTCGCATCTAAAACTCCAGCCTGGGTTTTGTTCTGTTTTTTTGTTCCATATAAACGTTCTTTAATAATAGGTCATGCCAGCAGCCTGAAAGAAATCAGCTGATGTCTGCAACACTGAGGCTTTGCTGGGACTGGAAACTTGGCTAGATCTGGCAGGTTGGGGGGGTGCCGGCTGTGCAGGAGGTGAGGTTGTGGACATTCCCAGGAGCTTTGATTTCCATACCTTCCTCACCCAAACTACAGTAGGCTACTGACTCATAAAATTTATATCCCAGGTACAGAAAGAAGTCCTTTCCCCCCTTTCTCACAATACAAGAACTCGTGGGCACTCCATGAAATTGTTGAGAGGTCGGGTTAGGGCGGATCAAAGGAAGTCCTTCTTCACCCAAAGAGGGATTAGCACATGGAATTCACTGCCACAGGAGGGGGTGGCGGCTACAAACATGGACGGCTTCAAGAGGGAATTGGATAAACATATGGAGCAGAGGTCCATCAGTGGCTATTAGCCACAAGGTATAGATCGGAACTGGCGGTCTGGGGCCAGTGATGCTCTGTCTTCTTGGTGCTGGGGAGGGGGCGACAGTGGGAGGGCTTCTAGTCTCCTGGCCCCACCGGTGGACCTCCTGATGGCACCTGGTATTTTTGGCCACTGTGTGACAGAGTGTTGGACTGGATGAGCCACTGGCCTGATCCAACACTGGCTTCTCTTATGTTCTTATCTCCTTAGACTCAAGGCGGCTGACAAAGCAACAAACCACAGACCCGCAACACGATGCAACAGGCCCATCAAAAATTACGAGCACAGTCAGATCGGCCCAAACAGTTTACCCTCCACTAAATGCCTTTCAGATGTGTTCCTGCATGCAGAAAGCGACAGCACCCTCCGTGCCCACTCTGGTCAGCCATTCCAGAGGACCAGCACCGCCACAAAACCCTCAAACTGGCCCAGAGCCAAGAAGGCGGCCCAGCACAAGCCGATGCTGTGCTCTGCATCCACGGAAGCTACTGAGAAGTCTCCCAAGGGCTGCTCCGTGTCGAGCAAGTTCCGGTCGTCTAATCTGGAGGTCACAGCGACGGCTAAGCAAGGAGGCCAAGCTGAGTCTAAGCAAGGGAGCAGCAGCCAGATGCAACGGAGAGAAGGTGCCAAGAGCCACGGCTCCTCCTCCCCTAAGAGGTTCTCCTCTCCAGCTCTCCTCTTCACCAGCGAGCACTCAGTCTCGGTTCCCGACCCAACGTATAACTCACAGCCGAGAAACCGACCCAGGAACGGCGAGATAAGGGGAGGGGCCAGGACTTACGGACGCCTGCGTGGTGGTCGCCTGCTGAGGGGTGCTCGTGTTCGGAGAGCTTGCCTGTCGGCTGGCCGCAATGGTGGCCTGTAAGAAACGGGGTCGACAGTTAGGTCAAGTGGGAGAGCCCTCTGCACCGTTGTTCCCACCCTCCTGGTGGTCCCCAGTCCGAGAGAGATCCAGCTGTCCTCGGCCAGGGCCCCCACCTGGTGGAACTTCCAATAATGCTTCCACGGGACAGCCACAGAGTGCCCCCCCTTTCTCATTTTGTTTCAGCCACAGAGTAGACCTCCGGTCCCCCGGAAGCATTATTGGCTACCAAGCCATTGGGGGCCACCCACCCGGCCTGCCCTGTGACCCCAGAGGAGGGGGACCACCGATGCCGGCCTCATCCCACTGCCCACAGGGGGTGAGCCCAGGACGTGCCCCCTCCTCCCCCTCAGAGGAGAGGGACCCAGGCACCTCATCCCCCTCCAACTTGGAGGGGGCCAGAGGTGGCCCATGGTAGCGAGAAAGCCCAGAGAAACAGAACTGTGACACCTGGAGGACCTAGCGACCCCACCGCGACCACCCAAGGAGGGCCCCTGCGCCCGGAGAAGATGGCCGTGACGTCCAGGACCCACGCCCGAAGGCTGCGAGTGGTGAGGAAGACCGGCTGATAGCCACCGGCCACGACGACGAGGGGAAGAGGTCTCTGCCCTGCTCTCCCACCATGGACTATCATCCTACAGACTCTCAACCACCTCTAAGTCACTGGGCACACTGTGGATGCGGAAATATCTCGTCCTAAACCCGTTCCTTGCTCTTCACATGACATGCATGCACCCGCGTTTTCTGGTGCTTACTTTTATTTACTGTACTCATGACGTCAGTTATTGTAATTTAAACATTAAGCAGTTTATTCCGCCCATCCTCCAAGGAACTTGGAGACAACAACCGCGATTTCCTCCTGCTTAATTCCCTCCCCCCTCCCACAACAGCTCTGCGAGCCCAGCACCGTGGCAGGGCACAGCTCCCTTATAAGGGAGGGGCCGTTGCTCAGGGGCAGAGCATCCGCTCAGCATGCAGAAGGCCCCAGGTTCAGTCCCCGGCATCTCCAGTTTAGAGATGCGAAGGCCTGGAGTTGCTGACTGGAGTGCTGCACGGGGCACGCAGCAGATGGAAAGACACTCGCATCGAGAGGCATACTGAACCCACAGGCAGAACGTGTGCTACCCGCCTTTCAATATTTACTAGCTGTAAAAGAAAACACAACATGATCTCTACGGGGCTCAGCCTGCGTTACGGCCGTGGCTTAAACATTTCCCAGGGGAAAAAAGAAGCTAAGCATCCATAAGTCTAAGATGGTTTCTCAACACTGATCTTTTGGTTAAGAGAACTTCCCTCTGAGTGTTACCAGGCCTCTCATCCTGCCGGAGCGGCCCGGTACGTCGCTCCGAAAGAGATGCTCTGGGGGGCGGGGCAAGGGCGAGACGCCTAGGGCACACCAGCCCTCAGGGGCGCCAAACTGCACCCCGCGCCAAAGGGCTGCGGGCTGCAGCGGGGCTGGAAACAGACCAGGGACCAATCAGCGGCCCCGCCTCTTGGCTCCCTCCAGCCGAATCAAGGAGGCGCAGTGGCCGGCCGCCGGGAGAAGCTCGGGCTGGCGGTGGCGGTACTGCTGGGGCCGGGAGAGCCAAGTGGAGCCAGGTGAAGCCGGTGCGCAGCCGTCTTTCGCGCTCTGTGGCTGTGGGGGCGCGCCTGCAGCGGGCTGGAGGCGCACCGGCCTCAAGCACCGTCCCTTCGTTCCTTTCCAGCAAGGCTTCCCCGAGCATGGCTGGCAAGCCGGGGCTGTTGCCCGGGGGCGTCCGATCGGGCCTTCCTGGGACGGGGTGGGGGCTTTTGCTGCGCTTGCTGCGCTTCCCGCCTTTCTGCATTCGAGGGCCATAGCGCCGGCTTGCTCCCAGGTGGAGGCAGCCGGAGATCGGGACTTCTAGGAAGACAAACCTGGGGAGGGGGAACGATTTGGGGGTCGCTTCGGACTCTGCCGGTCCACAGTGGGGGCATTCCGGCGGAGCAGTGGGGCTACAGGGAGAGGGAGTAGTGGCTGCTTTCTTCTTGCGCACATGGCATCCGCAGGTCCACCCAGGTGATGATGATAACCCTGCCTACTCTGGAGATGATCCCTGCGCCGCCCCCACCACAGAGTCCTCCCCCAGGAGGACAGCCAGTAAAGACACAAGCCCCTGCCCCGCAGGGCCACCACCAGGTGCCACTGAGCTCCGCCCCCACCATGCCAGCGGGTGCCCCCCACCGCCTCATGCTCTGGCAATCCGGGCCTCAGGGGGGTGGCCCCAGGACCCCTTTCCGAGCTGCTGCCGCCGCAGACCCCCCCCCGGGGCGAAGAGCACAGCATCGTCCCCCCTCCTCCTCCCCCGCGGCTTTGCCTGCCCGGGGAAGCGCGGGAAGGCCCGCTCCGGAGGCGCCTCTCTGTTTGCTGTGCCCGACGGGGAGGCCGCGGCAGCATGGGTGGGTAGGTGGGCTGCGCCGGGCAAGCGGAGCAGGGCGGCGCTGAGCTGAGCAGAACGTGGCAATCCCAGGCTTCTCTACCGGGGGGGGGGGGGGAAACGGGGTGTTTCGCCC